AATTGAAATACGCCCTTATTCGTAAGAATATTTGAAATAATAAAGACAATGTGGAATAAAGAACACATGCCAAATGACTGGAAAACAGTAATTGTGTGCCCAATATTCAAGAAAGGATATTATTAGATTGTAGAAATTAGAGGAATCTCATTACATGATATTACATATAAAATTCTTGCAGCAGTTGTGAACAATAGATAGACAAGATAAGTAGAAGATATAATTGGAGAATACCAAAATGGGTTAAGAACCAATAAATCTACAATAGATAATATATTTGTCATGTGCCAAATATCTGAGAAGTGTTATGAGAACAATATAGAACTGCACTTATTCGTTATTAAATTTGAACAAGCTTTTGATAGAATTAATCATGCTAGATTAATGGAATGATTAGAGGAAGTAGGTATCCCAACCAGGTTAATTAGAGTAATTGGCAGAATTTTGCAGCAAGCTACTGGTATAGTTAAAATTGAAAACTAACTATCATATTCCTTTGAAGTCCATTCAGGAGTTAGCCAAGGTGATCTACTAGCAACAAACCTATTCAGTTTAATATTGGAAACAGTAATTAGAAAATTAGATATAAGTTTTAAGCTATCTCAGCCTAGTGCCTGTGCAGATGATTTGGTTAGTAGGAAGAACCAAGAAAGCTACTGTTAAACTGTTGTGCACTTGAAAAAGAGTCCGAAACAGTGGGACTCGTAAATGAGCAAATATATTTTACCAGAAGCCCACGACTACCTATAATTCCAATCTGAAATTATGAAAAAATAAGAAAAGGGCAGAAAGCATATTATGCCAATCTAAAACTGCTAAACTAAGTGATATAAAAATATGCATACAGCAGAAATGCAATACACATGCAGAAGAAACATTAACGTTAACCAACAAAGACAAACCATATAAGAATATTTGAGAGGCAAATAATATGTTAAATATTTAGGCCAATAGAAGTTATTGCTGATGAATGGAGGATAAGACCTAACCACGAAATAGAGAACATAATAAAAGGGGAGGGTATCATCAGATTTATTAAAGAAGAAAAAAAAATTATGTGACTGGGTCATATTCGAAGAATGCTGGTAAACAGACTCCCAAAGAAGTTAATGGAATGGGTGTACAGGTGCTGGGCGAACAAGAGTGGAGAGTGACTAGAGGATAGGAAAAATCGAAGAAAATTGAGAAAGCCAAGACTCACAAAGGGTTATAGATCTAATGGAAGAATGTATATGGCATTATCTGATGCCACCAAGGAGGCCATCCACTTCAGGAGGTTCAATAGCCTCTGAGACAACACGGAGAGCATCGCCATAAACAATGACAACACTGGCACCCAGAAGCTGGCATCAAATCGTTTGTTCCATGCACGCTCCAAGCACATGGATCTACAGCACCACTTTATTTGTGATGCTGTGAAAGTGTAGTTGAGATGCGTGTAATTGTGTCTTAACGTTGTGGTTCGAAGGGGAAGTATTAAATTGAAACTAGTAATTCATATGACGCACAACTCGGCAGTTTGACATTGAACAGGTGGTATCCTTACAACCTGTGATGCAACCACTAGGTTTGTTCTGGTGCCAGTACATTCCTGTACGAATAACATTGTGTCTTTACACCGTGTTGTGTTTAATACATTTTTGTTTCCTACTGAGTGGTGAATTCGGACTCGAATCCCTTCTTCCAATTTATCCAACAATAACAATTGTTTATTTTTTAACAGCACTGTGATGCAGCAAGGTCTTACTCTTCTTATCATTTCTTATTACTATATATTAAACAAACTCTTTTGAACGACATGCAAAAGTCAATATTTTTAAATGCTTTATAATAATTTTTACTAAATTGTACTTCACCATTGAATGAGCATATATTCAAACTCAAATATTAATTTTGTACTCATATATTCATTTCATATACCTACATATTCATGTATATTCATATTCATAAATTCAATGTATCATTGAAGTACATTATATTATATTATTAATACACTCGCCCAATAGTCAACAGAAAACAACCTTGCCTTAAATATTAAAAAATGTAAATTTACATGTTTATCTAGATCTAAATTGATTCATGATTTTGTTTACAGTATTAACGATATTAAACTTGAAAGTATGAATAGCACCAAAGACCCGGGTTATTTTTTTTATCGGAGATGACATTTATCAATCACTTCAATTACATAACTGGCAAAACAAATCAATTATTGGGTTTTGTCAGGCATTTAAAACAACACATACTTCACACACATAAGTCAACACTTATGTACTCATCAGTAGTGTCAACAACACTCTTTCAAACACACAATAAAAAAATTGAAATCGTTCAACACAGATTTTTTAGAATAGCAGCATATTGGTCTCCAAGACCCATTTGTACATCATGACAAAGGTCAAATCTCTGCCATCTTCAATCTGCCTTCGCTCAGGTCTTCTGAAGATTTCTTAGATGCATATTTTTTTATATAAATTGATAAATAATTAGACTGTCCTTTGCTGCAATAACAATTTAATTTTAAAGTTCCTACTTCATCACTTAGCGAAAACATCCACTGTCAAAATTGATAAATATACCTTATCCGATATAGCAAATAACCCCATCAACAGACAATGTACTATAAATTCCCTATTAATGTAAATCAAGAGTCTCCTTGAAGCTTTGTGACCAAAGCTAGAAAACTGCTGTTGTGTTATGATAAATGTTAATGTTATTACAGAATGTGTAAATCATTTCTCTTAATTCATGTATGAATAGTTAATTGAGGACTTTAAATCTGTTAATAAATAAATTATACTTGGGTTCTAAGCCTGTTGTTTTCTTAAAAATATGTCCACAGAGAGAGATATCTAGTATTTTTTAGCAGAGCCTATGATAGTGATTCTGGGCATGTCAATGGCTAAGGGCATCAGTCCCTTAAGTGTAGTGCATGCTTTCATTGTGGGAGGTGGCAGTGAACTTACCCTGCTGGATGGTAAGCTGCAGCACCAACATACATTGGTTTGGGATTTTCCCCAAACAGGTGTCTCCCACCAGCAGGGCACCACCTCAGCTAGGACAAGCTCTACGCTTCAGACTGGTCGCCCAATATGTGTGATAGTGTAGCACATCTGAGAGTAGGTGTGTGTAAGTTAGGGGTGAGGATAGGACAAGGAAGAGGACTGAAATATTACACATGGTCCTTGGCCTGTCTGTTAGGGTAAGGCGCCGACATTCATCTGGTGTTGGTTGGAGAAACCACTGAAAATACCAAGCATGGCAGCTGGGCTGCTAGAATTCTTCTCCAGACAGCAGCTAACTTACACCTTGCTAGTCGGATATAGGAAGAACAAGCCAGACCTAATTTATGAAGGCAGGGGGGCCAAATGGTATAAGTGTACAACAGTCCTAGGTGAAAATTTTAAATCCATGATCAATGAGTTTCTTGGGTGTTTTCTATCACCAACTTTCCCCAAGGCATTTTAAGGTGATAATTCTGAAAATTAACACAAATAAAAAACATTGTTCTTTCAACCTACAATTTATTTCTAAAAATTTGACCCTTGTCAATAAAACAGAGGTGCCCTCTATCTACATAGAATGACAAAATACCGTTGTTCTGAAAATAAGTGCACAAGTTCTTCCATTCAACAGAATCATATTTTTACTTTGAATGATGCAATATATACATCTAGATTTTAAATGCACACCAGTATTTTAAGAAAAAAAAGCTAAGTTTTGAGCATTCTATCAAATGGCAAATGAAGCAAGGAAGCTGCAAGGAAAACAAACCATTGAACATTCATTTTCTTTTCTTGTATATATAATTACTGTACATGACTTTTTTGTTTGTTATATGCATTTTGAATGGCTAAATGTAATTGGGACTGGAGACCGAATGTTTGGCAAATTGCCTTTTTACAATTGTTATGATTTTCACAAGTTTAACAATAAGAATCGTGTAACTGTGCTTCTAGGATTGTTTTAGAAGTTTTTAATTTTGTAATTTTTGTCTATTAGTACTAGCTTTGCCTTTTAAATCTTTTCCTACTTTTTTCTACCTTGTTTTGTTACAAATTACAACCAAATTTACTCTTCACTCTTTTCTATAAGACAACATTCAATCTCAAATAAGATTTAATTTCTTCCAAGTGTTATGTTACAGGGCTATCCTTTTTTGCATCCACAGGTCTGCTTTTCATTTTTTGGGCATTGAATGTATAAATTGACACGGAGTAATCCACTGATAAATTTTGCCTTTTGTCTCACAACATTGCAATCAGTCTGCCTTTTTATCCCTTTGGACGCAGGTTTGGCTTCGTTAGTAACCAGGGTTCCCAGACGGTCACCCATCCAGGAACATGCATCTTGAGTTGAGTAACTTCCATTACTTCATAACAGGCTTGCTGGCGTTGGCAGAAGTTTAGTTTCAATACATCAAGAGGTTAGCAAACCATTGAGTGTCATGCTTCATTGATATGTATGAGAATACAGTCACATTATATGTATCATACAGTAGCGCAACTCAGTCTATTTTCCGGCTTGTTAGGGATGTGGGTGCATAAAGCTTGCGATTCTGGTGGAGCCACAGTAAAACTACAGATAGCTACTAATACAGTATATGGATTTGTATGAGAAATTACCTTTATTAAGAGCTGGTGACGAAATTAAAAAATAATTCATATTGTTTCTTGACCTTGTGGTTTTATATTCCTAGGATTTTAAGGGCAAGTCGTTAACACTTAAAATTACATAAAACTAACTTTTAACCATACATTTAACATGTATCAGGACATATTCGATGTACACTAAGTGAATTCAGATATTTTTCCAGTTTACACATTAAAAACTATTTTATGGCAGATTTTAATGAAATGTCATTTTTCTTATTTTCGCTTTAGAACAATGCCATTTAAGAAATTAATTTTATGCTATGACAAAAGAAAATTACCCATTTTTATGTCCTTTTTTTTCTGTTGATTTCGACTAACAAGTCATTTTTACTGATTTCCATAATTTTTAATGCATTTTTCGCTAATTTAATTGATTTTAATAACATTTTCATGCTCCAAATAATATTTACGAGATGTAACAAATGATCCCCTCAGAATTCCTGAGTAGCTCATTTGAATTATTCGCACTGGGCAAAGTGGCTCAGTGCGTAGCGTGCTTACTTTGCACTAGGGAGTTCCAGATCCGATCACCTATCACCATCATCCTATAATCTCAAAATTCATCAATAATAATAATAATAACAATAATAATAACAATAATAATAACAATAATAATAATAATAATAATAATAATAATAATAATAATAATAATTCACAGCGAGGACAAAATTGCTCGTGTCCATGGTCTACCACATGTAGCCCCTGAGTAACGCTAAATGTGCAACAGTGACTCGCCCAATAAATGCTTGACCAATACGGACATGCGAATTCTCACAAGCTGAGGGAAACTGCACGTTTGTACTGGTCAGAGCGTCACCAAATGGCTAACATGCCAAGGGTGAGCATTGGCTAGTAAATTATTTCTTCGCCCAGAAATTATGTCAGCTGTTGTGAGTTTATAATCTATGGGTTCTGTGACACCTATCAGTGTCAGTGCCATTGTCGGTTCACCAGATTTCGGGATAACTGATGGCTGAGATTTACTGGTAAAGAACACTCCAAACCAAAAGTTTGAATTCATTCACTCCAACGAATAGAAGCAGCCTCGATTACATCAGCAATTTTAAAATATTTTAAGAGCATTTTATTGATCGTTTTTGGCGATGTTTTAGGTCATCAAAATCTGCTCCCTATTAATAACAATACGTGCATCAAAAGAGGTGAACTATTCTGCAGTTGAAATCAGCAATAATACAGGAAAGAACACTGAGATTTTAAAATTTTCAGAAGACCTCGAAAGGAAAGTCTGAAAATCGTTTCGAAGCACAACAGAAATGTTATTACCTCCTGCATACCCTTATTTATTGAATTGAATTGAATTTGCCTTATTTTACGTGGCGAGACTCGGGCCATCAGGCCCGCTCTTCCGTCTGACCACGCAAATTTTGCTATGCTCCTTTCACCAACTAGCAGAGAAAGGAGGTATTTCTTGGGCGAGAAACAGGCGATTTGAATTTAGCTCATAGGCATCATGTAGGCTTGAGGATCTTTTACACGCAAGTATATCTACTAACATGGGACAGCCGGCTTTACTTCCCCTCCGAAGGAAGGCGTACGAAGGATTTTCTCGCCCTTAAAAATCCACGGCTTCGATCGCGTTTGAACCCGCAAACTTGTGTACAACAGTCCGGTACGCTAACCATTATTACTTACCATTATTTACTACTTAGATTATTTATATTTCTAGACATTTTCACGAAAAGTGAATAAATACTTGTTGTTCCTTATTATTTATTATTCTACTATTCACTTTCAATGGACAACATTCATTAGATTTAAATCAATTCTTTCCTTAGAAATTGTTCCAAGTTTTTACTTAACATTTTATTTTAGTTACATGCATAAAAGTAAAATATATAAAAATATTCACTTGTTAGTCAGATTTAGCAGAACAATGCTGTATTATAAATAGTAAGTCAACAAAATATTACTTTGTCACAGTGCGGAATGCTAGTTGTTGACCAACATGTCGTCATAGGTAATTCAACATGGAGCTGTGCTACTGTATAAAACATATACTGTGGTTTGGTTCAGATATACTGCCAACTAATGGTTCACTCATTTTATGTAAGATGAGCAAAAAAGTAATAAATCTCGGAGGAAAAAAAGATTTGTCACTTGTGCAAAGCATCAATCAGCAGCAGGCAGAGCCTCTGAACAAAAATAGAAATCCAGACACAATATCCAATCGTCAGACACTTTTCTTTTAATTTGTATAAAACCTTCAAAACTGCTAATATTCCATTTTGAAAATTACGGAATGAGTGAATTTTCTTGTAAAATACACATCAGCACGAAGAAAATGTATTGTTCAAAGGAATTATATGAATATGTTTTATGAAAAAATTATTCAGTTGCTGTAGAACGTTCATTTTCATTCATGAAAAGCATTCTTTGGAATAGATGTCATAATTTAACAGCAGACAACCTAAAAACATCTCATTGTGATATGCCACTAACAGAAGTTTTTATTAAAGTAATGTAATACGACACCAATAAAAATGCTCATTATTACTTACTGTCAGTTAAAAAAATAAAAATTTTGGAAAATAAATATGTTTTTAATTATTTTATTTTATTGTGCCTTTTTTTTAAAAAAGAAAATAAATGCCTTCTTGCATGCCTATTTTTGAGAAATAAATGCCTAAACATCCTGTTGCTTTAAATCAATCAAAAAATTATTTGTGAGATCTAATCATCATTCATAATACTGATGACAGTTTTAGATCTTTTAACAAAAAAATTAGCAATAAAAATATAAAAGTAATAAAATTAAAAATTACTGACACACAAAAACAATCATCCACTATTTTATACAGCTGTTTCTATCTGGATAATTAATTCTCATAAAATTAAGTTTGCCTTCACATTAATATTCCTTTTGATAACCTTTTAACACATTTCACTAGTGAGGCACAGTAAGACAGGTAGTAGGTGAGACACACTGGAATGTCTTCAAATTCCCATTTCATTAAGCAAGTCAAACTATAGAGGAAAAGGGTGTACACTGTACAATGTTTTAAGACATCACCCTAATTCTCTATCCAGTTCAGAGAAAGAGCCACCATCACATGTTTAATTCCAATGAAGTCTGTATCCAAGTAGAGCAAAAACAGGTTGTAATTCTACCCTGTAAATACACATTTTAAATTATTGGTATCGGGGCAAGTTTAAATTATTGGTATCAATGTTAGTTTTCAAATGGATATCAACACACACCTTTCCTGAAATAAATTTCTCTGATTTTTCCTGGTTTTCAGTGGATTTTTCTTTTTCCTGATAACATTTGTAATTTCACACTTTTTAAAGAAAATATTAAAGATTACCCGATTCTAATAGGTCAGCTCCTTAATTTTGAAGTGAAAAAGTACAAATGAACAATATTTTCTCAAAAAATTGGAACAAATGTAATGCTGCACTTATGTTGTTAAGAAATAGTATATAGTTTTTTAATCCTCTCAAAATGTTTCTTGACTTCTAACGACTCTTCTACAAATTCCCCAATTTTTCTCGGTTTTCCAGAAAACGGCCACCCTGCAGCTAATATCTTTCCCGGAAGCTAAGAGCAATACCGATAATTTGAAACCCCACCATTGATTACTGGAGAAGTGGAATCAGCAGTTGGAGGTAAAGAGGTGGTTTCAATCTGCGGGATCTCTACTGGGCCACAATATTCTGCAGAACCAAACGCACTATTGCGGAGCTCTCTCTGAACTTGACAGGGTTTTTGGGTAACCTCTCTCTGCACAGGGTAAACACTATATATTCTTCCCTTCATGGTCAAGCTAGGTACAAAACGCAAGGCTTATTCTGAATGACCAAATTTCCTTCATACACATCAGATAGTAGTCTTAAAAGAATTATATTTGCAGAACTCTGCAACAATGATTCAACAAAACGCATATCACAACCTACCTTCAAAGCAACTGAAACAAACTGAACTTGAATTAAAACTTACTGGTGCACATTTATACAGCATTAATTCTGCTTTCAATCGCAGGCTAGTTTTGCTCAGGTCCTCATCAAATTCATAATGCCGCAAACTCTTTGCATGATAACCACAATGTTTGTGGAAAAAAAGAAAAAGGTGTGACAGACAGATATGACATTCAACCTTAAGCTGACAACTTTGGAGAGAATTAAATGCTCCTCAATCCCCATGTCTTCTGGCAGGCAATCTTCTCTAACTAAATTAACTTGAACAATGCGTGAAGCAAAACCCTCAGTCCTTCTGAATGTTGCTCACACATTTGCAAGGCATTCCCGCAAAATGAAACACTTTTAGATTAGTACATACTATAAAACCATTGAGACTAGCTCATCCCAACTCTGATGCGATCTCATTTTGAAGCCGAAGATCCTTCCAAGCGAGCTGGGGTCTCTGGGGTGGCACCTGCGGCCAATAGCAATCGCTCCACTTCTTTGTGACGGCGGTCTACAGCATAGATGAGTGGCGTCCAGCCCTCCTTGTCCAGGCTGTCCACGGCTGCTCCTCCTGTCAGCAGGGCTTCCACACAGTCTGCTTTTCCTTCGCGTGATGCCACGTGCAGTGGTGTCCAGCTGTTGTTGTCCCTACTGCCTAGATCTGCACCACGAGCCATCAGAGCAGCCAAGCACTCCTTGTGTCCGTGCTGAGCAGCATGGTGCAGAGGTGTTCTTCCACAGCGATCCTGTGAACACACATCATTCCTAATTTACCATAACAAAAATACACATGAGCTCCATAATATTCTCTTTAATTATTCGTTACAGTGACAACTAAAATGTATCTCTCATTTTAGTATCAAACTCGCAAATGTACAGAAGAACTGAGACATACAGCAAAAAAGTTTGAAAGGACAGTAGTGTGTTGTAAATAAACACAGCAATAGAAACGAAATGTAGTAATACACTGAAGAGCCAAAACAACTGGTACAGCCATGCAAATTGAAATAAAAAAGATCAAGAACCAATCAGAATACGGCGCTCTGGCCAGTAACGACTATATAAGACAACCGGTTTGGCATAGTTGTTAGATCAGTTACTGCTGCTACAATGGCAGGTAATCAAGATTTAAGTGAGTTTGAATGTGGTGTTATAATTGGCGCAAAAGAGTTGGGGCATAGCATCTCCAAGGTCGCGATTAAATTTTTATTTTCCCTTACAACCACTTCACGAGGGTGCAGTGAATTTCAGGAATCCAGTAAAACATCAAATCTCTTGCATTGCTGTTGCCACAAAATGATCCTGGAAGAACAGGACAGATGATGATTAAGGAGAATCGTTACATGTGACAGAAGTGCAACCCTTCCACAGATCACTGCAGATTTCAATGCAGGGCCATCAACAAGTGTCAGCCTGTGAACCATTCAATGAGACATTATAGATATGAGGTTTTAGAGCCTAAGGCCCATTCGTATACCTTTGATGACTGCACAACTCAAAGCTTTACGCCTCGCCTGGGCCCATCAACATCGACATTGGACTGTTGATGACTGGAAACATGGTGCCTGGTCTGATGAGTCATGTTTAACTTTGTTTCGTGCAAATGGATGTGTACAAGTATGGTGACAATCTCATGAATCCATGGACCCTGCATGTCAACAGGAGACTGTTCAAGCTAGTGGAGGCTCTGTGATGGTATGGGGCATATGTATTTGGTGTGATATGGGATACCAGGTGCATCTAGATACGACTGACGGGTGACACGTATGTGAGCATCCTCTCTGATCACCTGCACCCATTGATGTCTATTGTGCATCCTGACGTATTTGGACAATTCCAGCAGGACTCCGCGAGAGCCCACATGTTCAGAATTGCTACAGAGTGGCTCCAGGAACACACTTCTGAATTTAAACACTTCCACTGGCCACCAAAATCCCCAGAACTGAGTATTATTGATCTTATCTGGGATGCCTTGCAACATGCTGTTAAGAAGAGATCTCTGCCCCCTCGCAATCTTATGAGTTTATTGAAAGTCCTGAAGGATTCATTGGTTAAATTACCTGCAGCACTACTTCACACATTAGTCGAGTCCATGCCACATCATGTTGCAGCACTTCTGCATGCTCGCAGGGTGTACCCAATTTTTATGCATGTTAATATTTCTATATACAAAATTTTTCCAAAAATTATTATTAGTACATTTACCCCTAATTCAGCTTAGTAGAGTACAAGATTGGGTGTACAAATACTGGAAGTCAAGGAAACATGCTAAGATTGTACTACTTTCACATACAACACACAGGTTTTTTAAACCTTTTCAAATATAACATAGTGAAATAGAGCACACGTCATAACTCTTCAAAAATTGTTTCAATTGCACAACTGGACAACTGGCTCGTTCATCACCTGCACATTCAGGTTCACTCCTTTGTCCAGCAGCACTCTCAGGCAGTCTGTCTGTCCGTGAACAGAGGCGTGGTGCAAAGCTGTCATCCCGTCCTTGTCCGTGCAGTTGGGGTCCGCCCCCACATCCAGCAAGGCACGCATCACAGCCAGGCGCCCGCTGGCTGCAGCCACTTGCAGCCCCACCCCACCCCCTTGCTTCATGCGCACAGCGCTGGGTTCCATCTTGGCCAGCTCGCGCACCATCTCAGGGGTGCCAGCCACACGGAGAGCACGTTTCACCTGCAGACACAACCATTTATTAATTTATACATAGAACAAATTGTCCTTTTTAAAACTAAATACAAATGTACAATAAGGATTAGAAGAAGAAATGAAATATACAGATAAGATAAGATCAGATCACAACACAACCGCAAACTTTGATGTAAAACAAAATACAAAAATGGCATTGTGAGCATGTATCACCTACAGACACAAAAAGTTATTAATTTATACACAGAACAACTCATCCTTTACAAAACAAAATTCAAAATGGCACTGAACAGAAGGTATAGAAGAAAAAAACAGAAAATATAGACCAGATAACAACACAATCACAAACATTGATCATGATACTCCATATACACTCAGAACTCATCCTTTAAATCAAAATTAAAAGATGGCACGGAACAAATTTAGAAAAAATTCTTTACAACCTTTCTTTTTATTTAATGAAGTTTCTGATGTTTAAGATTCTGCACTGTGCAAAACAATGCTGACAATATCCGAAATGTCATAAATGAATTAAACAAATTTAATAAAATCATAGAATAAATTTGATACAGTGTTAGTAATTGTGGTTGTCAGAAATTTAAAGGGACTAATGTATTTGTTGTGTTGATACTTTACACAATAGTTTGTTGGATAGTAGTATTAATTAGTTCTTGCATGTATAGATTTTTAGACACGAGTTAAAAAATCTTGTAACCATTAATAGTACCTGACAAGAGAAAACACGGTACAAAACATAGTACAAATAAATGTTACATTGAAAAAATTTCAAATCTGCTTTCACTGTAATGTGAATTGGTCTTCAAACTATTCATAATGTATCAGGGATTTTCAGGAATTTATTTTTTACTACAAAACAATAATAACAATTGCAAACAATATGCAATTGTGTAAAATGCAAGTAATACAGTGAAACTCTGTTTACACAGTTTTCACTTATAAGTTTTTCCCGTTTATACAATTTGTTTGGTAGGTCCCGAATAAATTACTATAATTCCCATTCTAAATTATTTCAGTTATGTGTTCTTGGTTTATATGTTTTTCACACTTAAACGTTCATAAGAAAAGTCTCTTTAAGACCATATCATGTTGAAATGATCCCGGTGAGGTCCAGGGCGTCCTGCCATAAGAACCCGAAACTTGTGTTACTTAAGTCGGCACGCTCCAGAGCAATCCCGTGGAGCGACCTGGTGCTCGGCCTCTGAGGCGACTTCCTGCTAACAAAACCGGTAATACAGAAGCTCAACTTGGCCTAGCTGAGGGACGAAAACCACACAAGCCCGCGGAGATCGGTGTTATTTTAAATGTAAAAATGTGTTGCTTTTCACACATTTTATATTTTAAATTTGACACTTTTATTCATTTCTTACTTTAAAAGTGATATTTTATGAAAAAATTGTATTCTATACTATGAGGTCTCGTGCACAAGACAGTGTCCTCAGCAAGACTCAAAATTATATGAATATTTTCTATATTGTATTTAGTGGCTGATCAGTAGACAGAGAGGGGAGTACTCTGTTAACGGGGGTATAATTGGCATACAACATATGGATTTGAGTGTCAGTTCCTAACAAAATCTGACACAGAGAGAACTAGTTTTTCAGAGAAGTTTTACTGTATCCTCTTATTTTATGTGGCCAGACTCAGGCCATCAGACTTGCCTCAACCGCTTGATAATGCACATTGTGTGCCATCTAACAGCAAAAGAAAATATCATTCAGGCAATTAGAATTTGGTTCAGAGTCTTCTTTTAGACTTGATCTTTTATTTGCAGTAAATCTACAATATAGAACAGCCAGCTTTCCTTCCTTCCTTCCTGATGGAACTGGTACAAAATAAAAGATTTTTTGCTCTTAAAAATCCAGGGCCTTAATTGGATTTGAACCTGGGAATTTTGGGGTATAGCTGTCTGATATGTATATCATTACGCCACCGAAGCTGCCAAAGGAGATAAGAACCGACATAAGTTGACTAAACATCACATTAAAGTCTGCAATTAAGATTTGAATCCCAATGCCTGGAGATAGAAATAGAGCATGCCATCTGCTACAATACACAAAACTCCACATTTGAGAGCTTGACTTCATTGGAGGGCCTACCAAACTCACCTGCTTCGCTCTGGATGCACCCTGTTGGAACAGCAGAGCCTTCACTGCATCGATGTTGCCCGCTGCAGCAGCTGCTGCTAACGGAGTCTCCTTGCATCTGCTCAACAAGGTCAAAATGGTTTGATTACTATCACAAGGTAAATTGGTTGGAGAACAACTTTGGATCACATTAGTAATTACCAACAAGCTAGAATATACTACATAGAGTGGCTGTCCCTATAGTTTCAGCGCTCTTGGTGGAGGCTTGCCGTACTAGTGGCCGTCATGTGTTTTGAAGTCAAAACATACGAGTGGCGGTGTAACCGCCCGTAACCAAATACACTACATAGAGTGGCTGGTAGTTTCAGTGCTCTTGGTGGAGGCTCGCCGAACTAGTGGCTGTCATGTTTCTTGAAGTCCAAACATACGAGAGGCAGTGTAACCAGTGTGTAACCATTCGTAAACCACCGCCAAGCATAATGCTAGAACACTTTCTTTCCCACAGGAAAGCTGCATTGACTGCAAAAAACAAAAACATGGCTTCATTTGCTTCAAAGATGGAGGCGCTTCAGCAACTCTATGTAGTATATTCCAGCTTGTTGGTAATTACAGTAATTTCCAATTATGCAAATCTCAGTTCTTTATTGATTATTCTAAACAACTTTGAGGTGAGAAAATAAAAAAAAAAGGGCAAAAACCACAAGAAAAAAAAGTTCCGTGCTGATAAAAAAAGAGAGGGGGGAGAGGGAGAGAGAGAGAGGGAGAGAGAGAGGGAGAGAGAGGGGGAGAGAGAGGGGGAGAGAGGGGGAGAGAGAGGGGAGAGAGAGGGGAGAGAGAGGGAGAGAGAGTTAATTTTTCAAACCAACACACACTTTTGTTATACTTGGACACACAAGAGAATTTTTGTATAAGAGCATTACATGGAGGGAAATCCTGTAACAAGCCTTAACTTTTTTAAGACCGGCGCTGTCGGAAAATGTTTTGCGCTAGTTGCACAGCTTGGACGTTGGCACACACCAAAAGCTGACAAATTGTCTTTTAAATTTTTTTGAAAATGCTTCTCGAGTATTCTGCATGCATTTATCATGCTTAAATTGTCTTCCAGAGCCTCTGGGAACTATTTTCTGCAATCTTTACAGTGGATCATTAATTATCTAATCATGAAACACACACTGAGAAGAAACAGTGGTTCAAATTTTGTACCTCTCTGTGGCTGATGTACTGCGCGTAGTGGTACATATTTTGTACCATCATGCTCAAAAGAGTTAAATTGAACATTTGAGTATCATCAAAATTATAAATTTGACAATTATCTTTTATACCTGATCCCTACAATTAACAAGAAAGCATTTTTGAAACTATTTTTTTTATAGTTTCTTTTTTCCTTTATCTAGGCCACCCCGTACCTGCCTGTCATCTCTCAGCATCTACAATCCCTTCCAGGGTACTCTCCAGCAACTACCGCCACTCTACTCAGTATTGATTGATCTCATGTTCCCAAGCATGTTCACTGCTAAGGTCATTAGCACCATAAGTGTAGTGCATGCTTCATCATGTAAGGTGGTGGGTATATTCCCCTGTTGTGTGAGATGTGGGGTTTTCCTAACCCAGTAACTCCCACCAGCAAGGCACCATCCTGGTTGGGACAAGCTCTAAGCTCCCCATTGGTCTCCTGACATGTGAGGTAGTCTAATGCATGTAAGTGTGTGTGTGTGCGTGTGTGTATGCATGAGTAAGAGGTGAGAATAGGACAAGGAAGAAGAAGGAGTTATTGCCTGCGGTTCATGGCCCATTCATTAGGGTACTGATCTGGCATTGGCCTGGTGTTGATTGGAGAAAACTACTGAGCAGCCACCCGCTAGAATTCTTCTCCAAACAGCAACTAAATTCGTCCAAGCTATCTAGTGTCAAAAATCCCACCAGCATTGGGACTTGGACCCTAGGACCTTCCAGACAAAGGCACTGCAGTGACATTAGTTGATGCACTGAGCCACCTAAGCCAGACCTACAGAGGAAGAGTCCACTTCGCTCCCGGAACCTAACGCTGAGAAAACCCTTGTTCCTGTACCAGTCTCGGTACATATTTCATTTGCCAGCTGGAGTCTCCGGGCCTATCAAGGAGCTTGAACCTTCTTACCAGTTTAGGGTCGGTCAGAGGTTGCTGAAGAGCAAATTCAAGAGCCATTTGAATCCATTGTCGCAAACACACTACATTTACAAATAAGGCGTAGGGATTTGGAAGGGATCAATGTTTAGAAATGATACATGAGAGACAGTCACAAACACAACTTACAAGCCACAAATACAACTCACAACGTATTCTCCAATAGTTTACGTCTGTACTTCAAGATGAAGATACAATCATTTTTACAACCTGTAGTTACGGCAGTCATACTGAAGACTTCTTGTTAAATTTTTTTTTGCATTTTTTATAATTACTTTCACCTGCACGATGTCTCTACTAATGATGTTTCCAAATTCTCCAACATTTCAACTCATGGTTTGAGCCTTTCTCAAGGATCTACTATGCAATGAAGAAATTGATATAAATTTAACATTAAATAATAATTATAACAGAAATTAAAGGCTAAGTGTACACCACATGGCAAATATGAATAAAACCAAAAGTATACTTTACACAGTGAGAGATGCAACAACAAATGAATTGAGCAGTGAGGTACAGCATTAAATATACTGAAAGCTGAGAGAAAAAATATAAATCCAAAGCACAATTGCACTTACAAAAAGTGGTGCCAACATGAAAATGAAGATATTGTGAAATGATATGAATGTGGCAAACTAGTGACAATTTGAAGAATTAGCTGAAGGATATTGCCATGTTTTTTTGGATCAGTTTGCGAATTAAATGTGTTTTACTAATAGTACACATTAAGAGTATGTGTTTTATTAAACGTATGTTATGTGCAACATCTCAGAAACAGATCTCTTGTAGTAACTAATAATATCAATCTCAGATTCGGAAGGAGAGCGTACGCATGCGTACACATCCTTAGGTGCAAGCCTCAGTGCCTCCACGAAGCGACTCCTCCTCCTCCTTCAATGAATAACAAGTGGCCCCTTGAGTGGCTCATGGACAGTATGTTAGCTTTCTTTGAGGTGGTTTGATTCCGGTTTGATTCCCGGACGGGGAAAAAAGTAGCTTTCCCAGACAAATCGTCTCAGCTTCTATGACTGTGTAATGAAACAAAACTCAGGTAGGTCAATTAAGCTAGGTAGAGCGATACGAATGTCCTCCTTGCCACACGTCTCTCTTACCCTCAGGCATGGACATGAAATAAAAATAGGGCCCAGGTCTGGCAATTCTAATAGCTGGAAAAAGTAGGATTAATCCCAACCTAAAATGCCAAATATATATATACGTACTTGTTTACAGGACTGTGAGCGCCTTTGGAGAGCAGGAGCTCAATGCAAGCGGCACTTCCAGCCCGCGCAGCGAGGTGGAGGGCAGTGTCCTTCGAGGCAGGATCTGGCGCATTCACATTAGCGCCCCGGGCCAACCAAAAGCGTAAAGTTTCCAAGTCGCCTGCCGATGCCGCTTGGCGCACAGACACTGCCATTTCACAGCGCTCTCCACTCCCCTTGGCATTGGCAAGTTCAGCCCCATTAGCAGCTCCTAGACAATTATTGAGAACGATGCAATGAACAATCACCTAGATAGACATTCTATGGTGAAATTGAACAAAATGCAAGGTACTATTAAAGAATAAATAATTATTTTTACCGAGCTTTCAATTAAATTTTTTTAAAACTAATCTTCGATAAAAAAATTAAGCAAATGAGCTCATTCCTCTCTGTAAGATTAGGTTTCACAATCACTACCAAAGATCATGAGTACAGTCATTTCTCTATGTGGGGAAAAAAAACAAAAATTACAAAAATTGTGGTTAAAATTTACTTTCCACGGCAAGAACCTGGTATATTTGGCATTACACATGCTACAAGTAGGTGCCAGTACGTGGCACTAGCCTCATGTACTAGTGTGCCCCCTAGGTTGCTAGTGTGGAAAATACATACAAGCGGGAACATTAAATACATAATTAAACATAACTTTTAAATGAAGTTCACTCACTTTGGTTTATCAAAAATTAACATAAATATTAAATAGCAAACAATAACTTATGAATTATTATGTTTTCTTTTGGTCTTCAGCTACATATAGGATTATTGCCTGAGCGATGCCCATTAATCTTTTAATTACTATAATTGCCATTCAACCCTTTATTACTATCCAAAAATCAATTATTAGGGTATTCTTTGGTAAAGACAAACAATACTCCTTGGAGAAATAATTTAATACCCTCCAGGAAATTTTATTTAGAAAAATTTCTGTTACACCGCCTACCTTCATAATGTCTATGTTTTTATATTGTAATTATTTCTACTTTTTGGAAAGTATCATATTTTTGTAAATTTTTGTAATTTTTGTATTTTGGGTTTAAAAGATGATACTACCTTTATTGTAAAAATTAGAATTGCATTAACTCATATCTCGCACACAGGAGTTTGCCCTCAGTGTGTAATGTTTTGTACATAAGTGTATACCCATAATCTTATATTATGTAAAATGGAAATAAACGACCAGACGTCACAATCTCTCCTGGCTATAGAGAAATGATCTCGCACTCTCCCAAAGCATGATATGCATACCCTTTGCTGCACCGGATTTCCCCTTTGGGTTGTTCTTTGCTGATGTCGTCGTGTTGGCTGTGCTTGCAGTTGTGGCGGGAGGAAGGGGACCCGAAGTCGCTTCCAGCCCTGTCAGCAAGGCATCAACTCGCGGCAACAAAACCTACAACACACAAACCATTCTACTTACATCAAAAAAGCATACAGGAAATTTGTTTTGTGTTGTGTCATAAGGCCAAAATTAGTTATCTGAAAATCAAAAGCCCAATCTAAACTATTATTTAAGCTTTTGTATACTGTAGGGGTTTCCGTTTCAACTGAGAAACTTGCATAAAAATCACCTACAGACACAATAGAATCGCTTGCCTATGAACATATAAAATATATATTGTTTGAAAAAATTAAATCTAGTATGACACCAAATTGATAAATTCAAAATACATTTGTGATGCTGGTAAATTCAATAACAATCTTGATACACTGTCTTCTCGCAGAGTTTATATATATTTATATATTTAGAAATTTTTTAGAAATAAGTAAATATTTTTTAAGATGATCAAGGGCCCTTTGGGCCCATGAGTTAAACATGGCACAGGCTTCATGCGTTCACTCACCTCCAGCGCCCTCTCCACGGATCTCTCCAGCCGGCACAGATGGCTTTTCATCTCCTCCACAGCCTTCATGCCTTCCTCTACCAGTGCCATGCGCACCAGCAACTGCTGCACTGACTCCTCTAGCGACCGCACGCGGGTCTCGCACACACTGCACTGCTCAGTTTCTGCCATGCTTTCTCTGCAACATGAGATACATAATATTTATTTTATTTTATTGACTATTGTCCAACTACAAAACAATTAAAAGTAATATAATATAAACTTTGTGAGATTTAAACGGCTGGTAAGTCTTGTCTCTCTAACAAGCTAATGTAACTTAGACATAATAAGAATAAGCAAAGTCCTTTTCACTGTGAATAATAATCTGAATGTCCGGAGCCATGATCTCAACTAATTAAATTCAATATTTGCATTAATTGTACAGTCACATTGATGTTGAAAGCATTCAGCTGGCCAAATTATGTATAAATATTATTGTAATTTTCTCTGTACTTCGACAAAAATCTTCATGTATTAAATAAATAAAATAAACCTTGCTGTACTTGACCCAGGTTTGAGTGGTTTTATAAATTGCTCAAGATCCACACATTGCTTTCAATATCTTTCGTTTTCAGTTGTTAAAAGTTTATGTATTGTATGCATACTATAAATAATGTTTATGTTTGCCCAAATTTAATTAGACTGAATCACCAGTCAACTTTAATTTATTTGCTTTTATTTCAAAGAATATTTGTATTTTTGTCATTGTGTATTTGGACGGGAAATATCCATATAGTATGAAATATATAAATAATTTATTTCAAAAATACTTTTTAAGAAAACTGATAAGCTCACACATATTCAAGTCTAATACATTGGTACGTTCAGATGGTTAAAATGGTTGCCCATTGTTGTGACTGGGTTACTCCCCGAGTACGCACAAAAATAATTATAAAAAGCAAAAGCACGGTAAATGGTGCACGGTCTCGTTGAACTCGAAACACCAATTGATTCAGCCAAGTAGGACAATCAATTTTGCCATGAATTACTTCGTACAGGAAGATACTTGAAATATCATTATATGTTCTCACAGACTTTTTGAGTCTGTAATTCTGAGGAAACTGAAATACTATTGCAATTATGATCAATAAAAGAATAGAGTTAATTTATGTGATGCGCATATGACAAGAAATACAGAATGGCAACTCATCTCCTCAAAGAATTTTCCCCAACTTTTCCAGATCATTTTTTGAAAACAAATTCCTGACCAGCTTTGTAATTTCACACATCTTAAAGAAGACATTAAAGATATCCTCATACTAATTGGTCCGCTCTCTGACTGATTAGTTGGTGCTGTGACAAAGTATATTTTAAAAATATTTTCTCACCAAATAAAAACAGCAAAACATGAGGTTTATTAATGTAATGCAGAACTAATGTTTTTATGTAATAACATCTTATTTTATAACCATCTCAAAAGTTTTCCAGACTTCTAACAATTCTATAAATTCTGTGATTTTTCCTTGGCTTTCCCAGAGCAATGAAATTTCCTGATTTTTCCCAATTTTCCAGAAAGTGAACACCTTGAAATACTAGTACCTCTTAATGACTGCCTATTGAACTCTTATAATATTTTCTTGACTAGTACAAACACCTATAAAATGGGCGCCAACAAATCTTAATTTTTGGGAATTACCAGACTCTTCCTTTTCCTGTATGTTTCCTGGGTGAAAATACAATACTTACAGCACAAATGGTTATAATCGAATTTTGATTTTGTTTATTAAGACAAGCTATTACATACCGAACAGAAAAAAATTAGCACCATAAAATATTAAATAAAGTTTAGTACATAAAAACAACAATGTAGTAACTTATTTCTATTTAGTATTTGCAGTATGAAGTTGGTGAGCAAACTTTAATAATTTCAAAATAATATGAAGCTATTTTAAACAGTAAAATCATTTGTAATTTTTCCAAACGAACCATAATTTCTTGACTTCCTCATATTTTTGTAGGTGTATTGATACCCGGACTGGTGCACATGAGCTACATGCGAGAATCAAGAACAATTGACAAAATTGGCTCAATGACTTGACTTAAGTAAAAACAGACACTAATCTTATATCTAAAAACCCATTAAGCAATTGATTATTTTCATTAAATTGTTCCTTTCCTCTTTACATAAAAGCTCTCTTATCACACTTGATTACACTATAATAAACAAAGGTTATCCATCTACTGACCAATACATGAACATTTTTTAAGGAATCAAAAATCTACATCACTTCTTAGAATGAATGTTTCTGAAATACTGTTTCTAAATTCATACTGATAGTAAATTTTAATGCATCTGAACAATTTAACAAAATCTTTTTATATTTAAAAAAAATTGTGAGATTTAACAATAAATTATTTTTTAAATGAATATAATAAAATGACATATTAACACACCAGCAATAATAACTCATACTTTGTGATATTTCTTTCCTCTTTGATGAAACAATAGTACCTCTAATAGTACCTATAATATCTAGTAAAATGCAAGTGATAAAATGGAAATGAATACACATATAAACAAGCCCCATTCCCTCCTGCATTTCTATGAAAACTGCACTGCAATAACTTTAACTACTGAAAAATTATAAGAGGTACTAAAGTTACATGACTCATCCTGTATATTTTTATTTTCTCTGTAACCAAAACCTTTCACAAAGCTACTTTAATCCTAAGCACTTTATAACACACACTAGTGGTTAATAACACATGCTAGTATGTCTTTCATATAAATTGACAATAATAAAAATATTCTACGACCAATCCAAGTAATATTAGAACAATCTCTGACATCTGTCAACTCTGCCATGATCAAACTACAAAACTTCAAAAAATAAAACTTAATAATACTGCTGACACAATTAAGCTACTAAGAATCGCCAGTTGCTATTTTTGGAATTTTTGTCATGCAAATTTTACTTCCATCAATTTGGCCATTACTTTCAAACCAAAGTTACTAGATAAATGTAATAAAAAATGCTTTCAAAACAAGTCTGCTTTTCAATGTAAACTTTTTATTTTTGTTTTTTTCCAAAATCCTATGGATTCATTTAGTTGTTTTCTTTCCATTCACATCTGGATCAATAAATTTCTTAGTTTATCTTTAACAAAATAGATGTTCTTGCTCATAATGTTGTCACAAGGAGAATAAATACAATCTTATCAGCAGATAAAAGATAAGAGGAAGATAACACAGCTCTTTCTTGAGAGAAATTGTACAAACATATCTACTTACATATTTAAACAACTGACGAGAACACTTATGATTTTTCTTCTAACATTTACAAAATTGTGATGAAGTCAACAAAACATTTAAGGTGTCAAGAGAATTTGTGCTTCACAGTTACTACTGATGATCATTCATTTATCAAACACACAACATTCCTAACATATTAAAATGTATACAATTTTGAACATTTTCAAAATGTTAGTCACAAATCTGAAAATGAAATCTGCAAATTAATCACAAAGGCAACAATATTCGTAACTCACTTCTATCTACTTTCTGAATTTCAAATCACACAACGAATGACGGAAATCTTTTTATTTTTTTAATCATTAGGAATTATTAACATGAATTTTACGAAATTTATGTCGTTCTTTACACATTCCATACATGTGTTTCACCAAAAATTTGAAATTCATCTGCTTAAATAAAACTAGGAATAAGATAATTTAATTACTACACACTCGCTAACACAAGTGCTGAATAAACATCTTCATGGATTTCGCTCCCCGATACACTTGTTTCATCGTTATGAAATATCCAAACAAGCACATGCGAAACGCTCACAAATTACTCGATGTTTTGAACAAAGACGCCCTCAGTGTCAAAAATATCCTTTATTATACGAAGAAATTCGAATGGTGCAAGTTTTATCATAGGCTTAATATCTGCTGTCACTATCAAAACATTTCTAACCTCTTTATTCAACGAGACAAACGCCACCGCCGACCACCGGCGTCCTGTAAAATAAATGTGCCTCTCTCTCTCCGCTCATCGCGCTCGGTAAAATACGGACAATTGAGCTGCGATTGAACAGTGTTGCCACCAAAGGCTATAAATAGTTGGCTTATAAGCTGTCATATTTTCACTTTTCAGTGAGGCGATTGATTGGTTACGGTAGAGATATTAACGATTCTTATATTTAAGTCGCAGAGAGGGACCAGTGGCCATTAAAAATAATCATATTGTCTGTTCTTGTGTGGAGCTTTTATTTGAAATGATTCAAATGATGCGTCACCCTGAGTTAAAAAAAATTCTATAAACCCGAAGATTTGAGAGGAAATAAAAAATTTAAATTATTTCCAATTTATTCAAGATATTGGTTTTTACTTAGTTGGGGCACCAAATTATGATTTTTCAAAATCTGTATTTGAGGTTAAAATAAATAATAAAAATTAATATCCTGTCTATTCAATTGCTATTTGTAGTTTATTGAATTTTCTCCAATAAAATGTAGTGTGCTCATTTTTTATTATTATTTTTTTTCTTAAGAAATTTTGTGAATACCATGGAAAAATGTTTTGGAATATTTTGTCTAAAAGTATGGGGTTAGTATCTGACTGTCATAAGTATCAAGATTTTACAGTTAATAAGAATGTTTTACATCATCATTTAAAATTGGCTGAAAGCAAGATAAAAGCAGTATAAAAGAAAAACATGAACTAATTTACAATACTAGGGTCCAGATGACCACAACTTCATAATTTTGAAAATAAGCAAGCATTATTGAAATTTAGGAAATTAGCCCAAAAAAATATTTCTTCACAAAATATTTTTCTGCAGTACCATTTTTAATCCTTCATGGATGTTTATTGTGAATGCTTGTTTAACGTGTTGTCAAGAGCATGAAAAACATTTCAGAATAGTTCATTTTTACTACTAATTCCTAAGTGCATATTGTCTGTTTGCGTTCTGAATTGTAAGCAAATTGTTTCAAATTTAGTTAAAATGTGACAAAACTATGAGTGAAGAACTACATGTCTTCCTTTACCTCCCAATTACAATGGCAACGTTTTGCATATCTCCGTAATAGTTCTGTAAAACAATACAATATGAAGCCACTAAATTAAAATGTTTCAATTCTCAAATAAATATATTTACATTATTAATTTCCAATGCAGGTAGAAATTGAAAATCATGCATTCTCAGACCAAGTGAGAAGAGTATTGTTTTATTAGTTTTTCTAGGCACATGTGAAAAATCCAAACCCAAAGACTCTTTTTTTCTTTTTTTTGACTGAAAAATTCAAATATTTAATTGTATTATTCTGCCTATTCTCGTATTGCTTGTACTGACTTAAGTCTTGTACTGTCCATCTCTGCTTTTGACAGCTGAATGAGACAGCAAGGTGCCAAGGAAGAGGCTGCCTTTCTGTCACAATTTGTTATACACATGTTGTGTTATTGAAGTTTTTAATATTCCTGGTGTGTAAAGAACTGTTGTGTTGTGTATAAATTATACTAGGTTATTGCAATATCCCTGAAGACTGTTTTTATTAAAAGATTTAATTTACTGCACTTAATACTCTGTTATACAAGAGTATTTTATTTTCGAAAACCATTTTGTGTGGTTTTGTTCAGCAACGTTGTTGCTGCCAGAGGATACTAGTGTTCAATAAATAATTTCCTTTTATAAACAACCAAACATATAACTACTTTCATTTCAAAATATATTAGTTTTCGCAAATAAATCACCATGAAAGATAAGATTTTGCAGAATATTGATGACTATGTTGAAATTTGTCACTCATCGTGTACTCTCCGTGTTTCAAAATGGATGGTAATGAAGGTGAATAATTTTCAAATCAATATAATAAAAATTGCATTTCACTACAGGTTAATTCAAATAAACAAACAACTAAACCAGCAAATTAGAACACTAACTATTTGAGTCTTCGCTTTCTATAACTTTTCACATAATACAAATAAATGAAATTGATATTATTGCTGAAAATTTGCATCTGTAATGCTCTTTAAAAATGTCTTAATTGTGATAATAATTCACATAAAACAGCCATTAAGATTAAAATAACGTTACTTTTCAATGTAAAAACAAAACACTAATTTTTGCTTTTCATTTGAGCCATGTTTTAGGAACTAAGGAGTAATTGTTGTTTAATGGTAATTTTTTCAAGGGACTTTTGGCTGAAGTACCATTACATTCCATAACAACGTCCTGATGAGAAAGCATGACTTATTTGCTTCTATAATCGTTTTATAATAGTTGGAATGTGGTTAATTTTCCATTGAAATGATAAAAAATATACTTTTCAATTGGTCATAGCTTAGTGAATTTTCATCCAAAATACTTTTAGTTTATAACCAATAAAGCTAGAATTTTACTTTTGAATTGTACAACAATTTAACCCTTTAACAACCAGTATCCACATTTGATGGTTAACTCAAATTTTCTTTTGCACTAACTTGCAAATTTTATTCCTTCCTAAATGAACCATATATTAACATTGTAAAAGAAACATACAAGCAAGTTTTGGAATTCCTGCATGCTAAATGTCAATTTGGCTGAGATCGGTAAAGTATTCTATACTCCTGGCTAGGATGACTTCATGACTGGTATGTTTGCCTCTTCTTCTAAAACAGTGTATAGTTGCTATATGCCAGTGTTCAAGTTGGAAGGAGATGCTGGAATAAAGCACAAGGTAGTTAGTCAGCACACATCACCAGCAGGTGGCACTTTGGAACACTTTAAGTATAGTTTAGCAACATAATGGTTTAGCACAAAAAGTGCTAACAGGGAGCTCAGCACACATGAATGCAACAATGGGCAAATACTAATCTGTGTGCAAAATTATGTCGGAAGTTAATGGGTTAACCACTGCAATGCAAGCAGCTAACATTTGAGCCACACACAATTGTGCCCCCACTGATAACGGCTCACATTCGAGCAGCACTGCTGTGTCTGATTTCTTTATTCACTATCGAGCTGTGTTGAAGACGTGTTTGTCGATTTCAGGCAGGTTCAGAAAGTTACAAATTTTAGAAAACACACTGTATTGGTTGGCAGCTCATGAGCTGTTTTTTTCTTTTTTTTTTCAGTGTGTCCAATAGTGCCTATCTCCCTGTGTCCATTGACCTGCCTGTGCTCATAAAAACAATTTAATGCACACTCATTAATCTATTTTGAATAGCCAATTCCATATTTCAATTTTCTTGTTCATTTTAAACCCTTAATTTAAGATATTTATTAAATTCCACGTGCACACAGCCAAAAAGCTTTGTGGATGTTTTGTCTATCAGCATTAACTGAAATAATCATTACACACCTCATGAAACTCAAGTAGAGCTATAGTTTTCTTTAACCTTTCTTGCTGAAACACCTTTATAGTTATAAATGCATTTTCTGTCTGCCAATTGGCTCTTTTGTTTCGCTTCCACTTTCTTTCTTTCTTCTTGTTCTTTTTAGAGTTGTCAACAGTAACATCAATGTTAATTTTTGTATTTATTCCAGTATTTAAGATGGATATATTTAATTATATTTAGGTCATAGAATTTCCATGAAATGTTTGGAATCAAACAAAACACGTTTTCTGTTTCTTCAACTGTCCAGAGATGTCAACAATAATATGGTACGATGTTTAGAGTCATATAAACTAACATTTTCATTTCCTCTAACTAATAATATAGTTTTGTAGACACGTCAAGCCCTAGCTTCTATGTGATCATAGTAAGTACTTAGATATTTGATCCAAAGTTGCGGAAAAATATGATTCTGAAAGTGGTCGTAAATCAAAAATGGCAAAAACATCAGTGAACTTACGGAAGTGATATAATCTATTACTTTTAACCTCTGTTTTTCAGCTGTGCTCCCTGCTCTCAGTTAAATTATTAGTATTTTTCACCTAAGGAACTTTCACCTTCCATTTCTTAACCTCACTGTTACTCATAAGCCCCTTTGCAACAAGACGTCTCTTGCTGCTTGAGTCTCATAAGCCCACAGCAGTGCTTGAACCATGTTACAGGTAGGGAGGTATAGTGACAGTCAGATGGTGTTCATATTCTGCCAATAGGTCTATTATGAAGCTTATTTGTCTCAGCATACAGGCACTCACACTCATACTTAATTCACACATACTTTCAGGACTGAGAAATTTTAGAGTTTTTGAAAGTGTCACCAAGACAAAGACTCAAGAAGGGATTCAATTCATTCACCCACGGTCTTTCAAGTTGTGACTTTTAAGGTGCATCCATTTCAGTAATCTAGGCTACCCAGACCAGCTATGTAGATATTAAATACTTTACAAACATTTAGTACATATTACTATTTCATTTGTAGAAGTAATTTTTTCTTCTTCCCCAATTAGTATTTGTTTTTTCTGAGGTAAAATCAAAATTTGTTCACAAAAAAGTACCCAAATCTCCTGAGGTTAAAGGCTAGTGTGAGTGTGTGAGACAAGTTTTTGGGATTTTATTTCCAAGTGCAGTTGCTTGTAACCTATAGATATATGAAAAACTGGAATTCTGTGTGAAGTTTTTTTAAAATTTGGTAAACTTTGAATTGTTAGAATCAATTGATGGAAATCATTTATTATATTCTAATTTTATCCAAGTATATTTTCTTATATTTTGACTTATATCTAAGAATACATTTCTGGATGAAATAGTTTTTAGTTCAAAATGTACAATTGGTGTTGTGACCCTATAATAACATTTTCATCGTTGTAACATGCTAAACACTAAAACACTATTTTGTCTGGGTTGTGCATGTCCACACCCTTGTCATTTAATTCATATAAACAAAAAAATCAATATATTTTCAACTCTTGTCAAATTTTTAAAACCACAACCAAGGACAGAGAAGGAAAAGAGAGGGAAAAAAAAAAAAAAAAAAAAAAAAAAAAAAAAAAAAAAAAAAAAAAAAAAAAAAAAAAAAAAAGAAAGAAAGAAAGAAAGAAAGAAAGAAAAAAAAAGAAAAGAAAAAAAAAATGGCAATATTAAAAGATCATGAATCAGGGAATCTCATTACATCTTCACCCCAAATTAATCATGAATGATGGGTTTTGCACTTTTTAACCCATTTGCACACAAATACAAAAAAATTCTCTCTCATTGAACATGGGAGAGTAGAATTTTTGCTGAAAACATGTAGAGTTCATCTTTCCAGCCATGCAGAATGGCATTGTTCTTATAACCTCAAACTTGTAAGGGGATTAGTCTCTCCATAACTTATGTCCAATTTCATGATGAAGCTTTAGCTTTTGGTCTTCGTGATTTAACATAAAATATCTTGGAGTCTGTCCAAAATACAATTTTCAATGCAATTTATTTCAAAGGAACCTTTTCCTTAACATTTCTACGTCGTTTCATTGATAAAAAATATCTAATTTACAATATTGCAAGAAGGCACCAAACAAATTTTGAACTTATGCAAGTTTTGAAAATTCATAGAGTTCTTCGAAAATTGTACCTGTGCCATTTTCTTTGTACTTTGTCTAAGCGGAGTAAAAAATTACTGAAATTGAAGCCTTTTTTAAAAAAAATTTGAAAATCTCCTTAATGCTTTGTGTTAGGTATCTTCAAAAATCAAAATATCTGTTTCAAATGCAAGGGGCCGTGACATCAGCCGAATTGATTGGGGAATATCAATTTAGGTGAAAATGCTGCCTACAGTTTTGCCCCCATTAACTGGTTGTTAAGAGATGGGCAGGCAGACATTCTGCCGTAAACCAATTTTTCAGACTGACAGAACACAAGAACCACAAATAGGGTTGCCACTAATTTCCTGAAACAAAATTCTCTGACTTTTCCCGGTTCAACCGAGCATTTTAAACATTTTTCACAGATAAAATATGTAGTGTGTTTCACACTATTTAAAAAAGATATTACAGCAAGCTTCCAACTAATTTGTCAGTTCTCAGATTTCACCCGGATAAAGTACAAATAAAAAAAAATCAACAAATAGAAATTGAGCAAAAAATAATGCTTCATTGTTTTTTAGGAATCATTTCCACTTACCGTATTTACCCGAATATAAGATGAGGTTTTTTCCTAAATATCTTAGTCAAAAAACATGAGGTTTGCAGATTAAGCCTAGTACAGCTTAAGTTAAGCTTATGCTTTTACATTGTTGGTCTGGCGTGAAACTCTTCAATGTTCATGTAACAATAAACTGTGAAGAAAGTAAAATATTGTGCATATCTACAATACATAATATTATATTTGCGGTTGAATTTTCCATCCACCACAAATTTGTCGGGTAATTCAGATCAATACTTTTGTAATGGGTCGTTAAAGAGAGAATCTCTAACAAACAGCATTGTATCAAATGAAACATAACGTGAAAATGAATGCTGTGATTTTGTTACAATGCACATTCGACGAGGCTGCAGAATATTGGTTCAATGTCTGGCTAGTGCAAATCTGTGTTTTGAACTGTTAAAGAATCAAAAGTCATCAACAAGTGCAAGAGAGTCAGGTGACACAGAAGGGAAAGTTTCTTAAATGGCATCTGATGAAAGACATAGAACAACGCAAATTTAATGCGCAGAACTTTCAGAGGGGCCTAGAAAGCCAGATGCTGCAGCATGGAAGTATCAAAAAGATATAAAAACATTGATACATGTGAAGATGATGAGGTTAGAGACAATAACCATGACTATGATGATTTTAAGGAACAAGAAAATAATAGTTCAAAAACGTCTTAACATTCTCATCAACAAGGCAATTTTCTAGTCAATAAGACAATTTGGAATTTTATTTTGACTAAATAGTAAGAATTAGTTAAATTTTTTTTAAATTCTCAGGAAGCCTCTTGAAACTTAGGGGGTCATCTTAAATTCAGAGTCGACTTATAATTGGGTAAATACAATATGTAACCATCTCAAAATTGTCCAAGACTTCATATGATTCTTCTTCAAATTCCTTGATTTTTCCCTGACTTTTCCAGAGCACAGAAATTCCTTGATTTCCCCCATTTTCCCTAGTATTCCAGTAAATGACCACTCTGACCAAATGTCAAATTTGTCTACACATTTTAGAGGAAATAATTTACTACATATTGGAATACGAATTATCCACATTTACAAAATCAGGTACTTTCAATATCATTTTTCTGCAGCTCTTTCTATACATGTAAATAGCATGTGAAAAAGTAATAAAAACAGCATTGTTAGCCAAATTTTTTTAAGAAATTACAAAAATACAAAATATCTCATTGAACTGAACAATAATAATTTTTTGAAATAAGGAATCTCTCACTTCCAGTCCAAAAGCTATGTATGCAAGATGAAATAAAAATAGCAATTAATGAATCTCAGAGCCACTTTCATTGCAATTGAAAAGATAATCCGGGAAACGATATAATGCTATACATCTAGACTAACATTTCTTAAATATTAAACACTGACTTAGCAAGTATATACAATTAATCTAATCAGAAGTCTTCATGAAGTCCTTACAGAATGATTTCTGTGTTGTCAATTTTATTTCAAGTTTGTGTGTTCCACACAGAGACCTATTCACAGTCAGTTCTGGAACCTGAGTAGTCATAAAACAAACCTATTACATGAAAATGTGAAGAAAAATTTCCTGTTTCATCACAGTACAAACTTCTCCATACAAGTATTTTGCAACGCACACCAACATTTGACAAATTCACACAACTCCAATTCACAAGCTGTCTCTTGCTACTGGTTCGACAGCAGCACCGGCAGCCCGCAAGACTTCTTCCACCTCGGGGCATTCGTTTGTTGCACACACCAAGGGAGTCTGACCGTTTGCAGCTGGGCGGTTCACGTCTACGCCAGAAGCCAACAGAAGCTTCACACATTCAATATGCCCTGCACGTGCTGCCAGGTGAAGAGGCTCCCAACCGCTGGCATCCTTTACCAAGGGGTTTGCACCAGCAGCTAAGAGAGCTGCTATACACTCACTGTGCCCGTTCAGGGCTGCCTTGTGTAGGGCTGTCTGCCCTTCCCCATTGATCTGCCCTATGTCCGCTCCATGTTCCAACAGCAGTTGAAGGCTCCTGCCAAATACACAACACACAAAACTTCAGCGTGAACTCACTTGATATTTTTTCTCAACTAGAACAACAAAATTAAGGAGAAATCACCAATCTGAAAATAAAGCACATTAAAGGAATTCCTACACTAGACAACTTAGCTTATAAAAATTTAGAACCAACCTCAGTCAGAAATTGGGAGAAATTAGATTCAAGGTAAGCCTCATCAACAATTTCAGAAAATTATCAAACTGTTCAGGATAAATAAAATTACAAGTAAATAATTCAACCTGCCTTTTTTTGTACAAAGGCACTGACATCTTGAATTTCACTGACACAGAGGTAAATGAAGTATAGATCCTGAACTAATTTTATGAAAGTATATCATCAATAGAACATCCAGGAACATACATCGTGAAGTATATTCCAGGTAGGGAGAGGTGTTGGAAAAGCAGTTTGGCGCAAATTTATTTTTCTGCTTCTTCTAATGGTAAACACTTTAGCTAATTAGTTGTTTGTATCAATTAAGGTAGATAACATAAGTTTGATTGTGACCACAGATCTCCAAATTATTAGAAGCTTATATTCAATACAGACAGTTAACACCAATTACACTAACAATTCTATTCCATGGCAGAACTTTGAATAACAGGTAATCCAAAATAACATGATACGTAGACTGCCTGTGCATTATTCGATAGTAGTTTGAATGAAATTTAATATAACATTTTGCTTCCAAACTCAATAAATTATTTAAATATTTTTCCAATAAATGACATAATAGATTATCAATGCTTTAATCAATTTTATTTGAATGCCTAAAATATATTAATTGTCAATCAAATTGTTAAATACTTAACTAAACTGTTACACAACTTGTAATGCATATCATCCAGCTTTTGATATGTATTCCACTTTTGAAAATGGTAAACATATTCTAATGTAACAAACTAAATACAATTATGAAAAGATTGGCTACTGAGGTATAAATAGGGAGTGGATATCTTATAAAAAGTATCAGTTTTTGTGAATATATTCATTGGAATCTTGCATTAACAACCTGTATTTTAAAATTTATTAGCCACCAAGGAACATGTAATGGTCTTATTAAATTAATACAAATCATGACACCACATGTAATAAATACAAACTAAATTACTGGATTATTAAGAGTTTTTTGAACACTGAGCAATGTAAAGTAAAATCAAATGAAGTCTACGAATATTAGGGTAACACCTAAAAAATATTGGAATAAAATGAACTCTTGGGTTCACAAAGAATAATACATGGGACAGTTGGCTACACATTCCCTCTGAAGGAAGGCATACAAAGACTTTTTAATAATCCATGGCTTCGATCGGGTTTGCACCCGTGAATTTTGGTATGACACCCTGATACACTGATAAACCATAATTTTTCCACAAATATTACCAGATTGAAACAACAATTATTGGTAGAATTCCATTGGGTCCTGGACTTTTATCGACATCGAGTTGACATATTTCAACTATAACATCTTTCACAGCGACATCTGTTGCACAATGTTGCATGTCTCATTTGAAAAAATTTCCCCTAAGTCGTCAAGTGAAAGTGAGTTGCGCAATAGAACAACAAAACTTGTGGAAAGACTACATAACTTTCGAACTGATGCAATAACCCAATTTATCCTTTGCATATTCTTTTGCGTTTGATGTTGTTCTTATAATGCGAATAATATCATATTAAACTTGTACTAAAAAGAAATGCTCATGGTTACTTATGAAGTCCTCATTTGTCAGGATATTAAATTAATAATCCTGACTACAACTGTCTACCCCTTATAGAAGGCAAGGTGTTTTTGGGAGAAATCAAATTTAGGAGGTGCTAATGCAACCATTTTCTGGGTGCATAACCCAACAATGGATATGTTTATAACCTTTTTATTTGTTAAGAGATTGTTTGGTTTACGACTATTGTTTGTGCGATTGAACAACCTGGTACTTAGCAGTTGATTCATGTAGTTTACGTTTCTGGTACAATTATACATACATATATGAAATATATACATACATTTTTGATAATCAATATACAAGTCGTATATCAGAATTTTTGTGTATAATAGTACCTAACAAGCCCACAAAAGGTCCTAACAGAAAGAATGGGTTACAATATAAATAATACAACATAGATAAGATAACATTTAGCTTGTAGGCGTCATTTACATGCAAGATGGGATATTCTCCTTCAGAGGAAGACACAAACGATTTTTTCATGTCCCCTCCCCTTCCAATTCCACAACGACAAGGTTACATCTCACCAACTCAAGTGTAAACAGATCGGTGAGCTTACTGATACATCATCAAAGCAGCCCGGTTTTCAGTAACGTCCCCAAAACATTTCTCTTATGGCTACAGAAACAATGCTACTCACGACACGTGTCCGCTGGATGCTGCCAGCTGCAGGGGGTTAGGCCCGGAAGAGCCATCCTCTGCGTTGGCGTTCACCCCTCCCTCCAGTAGAGCTTGCAGTACATCGTCTCTCTTGTCTGTCACAGCTTGCTTCAAAGCTTTGCTACCTCCCTGCAATAGAAGAATTTAACTATAAAGATGCTCATTGGTCTCCTGAAACTGTCTGCCCCGCATTCTTCCTGTGTCCCCCCACCCCTGTCTTTTGTCCCCTTCTCTTTCCTATGTCTACATTCAACTGCTACACATTTTGTGTGGTACAAAAATTATAATAGCACAATGAATATGTAAATAAAAGCACAATGAGATTATCGTAAGTATAATTAATATACAGCGTAAAATAAATCGTAGGGTTCGAAAACACAAATGATGACTAAACAGAAGTGGGCTGTTGAAATCCCCTGACATTTCTGCAATAAGTACCAGTCAACAGTCTAAAACTGTCAGATTTCACCGAAATGTACATCTATGCACTAAAATGTTTGCTTCAATTGAGTTGGCATGTTTGGTGACTCAGTTGGCTGACCGTCGAATTAGATACACATCCAGTTTCTGCTTGAAAATGGCAATACTATTTGGAGTAGAAATGATTCCAGTGTTGTGAGTACTCAGTTGACCAGAGGGTTTTGTAGGTTATTTTTTTTAGTGCTCTCCCTCTATTCAGTTTTATCACAAGTACTCTCAGGTGAATGTTTTTAATATACTGGTACATTCGACTGGTACCAAGATCAAATGACATGAGTCTCTCCTTGCATGCCATGATTAGAACTCGGATTTTAGGACAGATGCCTATTTAGTTCCTTTAGGAGGTTGTGGAAAGTAACTGCAGATGTTTACGAATCATTAAACATCTCCTGAATTCACATAATAGTGCCTAAAACATCCTAGAAGGGTGGTTGATGCCTATTTTTAAGCCTTTTCTTATATCATCACTTATTAACACACACGATAAAGTCAATCATAAAAATTCCCTTCCGAGCACTAATTTCATTTACTACTGTTGTCAATTCCTCCATAAAAAAATATTTATCTGGTACATTAGCATTCTCTGTTAGAGCATACATTCCCACAATTACCACATGCAGATGAAATAATTTCATCTCCAATTTCATAATCCCACAGTTGAAAGGCTCCGAATTTGTAAAGTATTTTTTTATGGACTTTGATACAGGGCACAATTATTTTTTTCCTGACTCTTGGAGATGAGGAGCTGAACCTACAGTCAAATCCGGCTCAGGAAAACTACATTTGTAATCAGGTTTAATATATGAACGTTCAGGTTTAAAAAACCAAGAAAACATGCATGCCTAATTTATTTTCTGATTTCTACTCATTCTGTATCCGTAAAATTCACAAACCATGCGGGTTGGCTCCTCCATGGCCTACCTGCCGATTGGTCCAGGCCTTGCCCTGGTGCAAAAGCAACTGCACTGACGCCACATGTCCATTGGCCGCTGCCAACATCAGCGGGGTTTGCCGCTGCTTGTTAGCACTGATCACCAGATTCTTGGCAACAGCCAGCAGCAACATGATGCATCCCAGGTGGCCTCCACGGGCTGCACAGTGCAGAGCCGTGTCGCCTGTGATTGGATCGCGCTTCTTGGTGTCGATACCTGCACAAAGATAAAATTTTGTATCAGGGTTAAGCAGATTGATTGTTTTACTGATTCTCGGCACTTCAACTAACAGGGGCATTAGTCCCGTAAGTGTAGTTCATGATTTTGCTGGGGATGTGGCGGTGATCTTTCCCTCAATGTATGGCGATACCCAGTGCCGGCCTACTGTTGGCTAGCAGGGTTTACTCCAACCAGGTATCTCTCATATTGCGGACACCACCCCAGCCAGGATAAGGTCTTACACTTTGAAACGTTTTAATTCGATATGAAAACATGAATTGTTTTCAATCCTATTTGATTCATCCCCTACCCCTTATCCTAGAGGACATTTGTTTCTGTGACAACTGACGGCACTAAATCAATGACGGTTAAAACCAAAGGATTTCTGTCAAGATAGTTAAATTACATGATGAACATCCAGATAAACAGAAACTTCTTTTACACTCAGATCTAAAGTGTTGAACAAATCATTAATTATCTGATTTAGATAATTTCCATAACTGTATGTATGTATGAATGTAATTCTCTTATACTTGCTGTGAAGGATTTATTTGTGTTGCTATGCATTTTATATTCTTCAAGTAATTAGCTTTTGTATTTTTATTGTTCACATCATACCATGTAACATCTGTGACGTATTTTCTTTGGATAATTATTTGTATTTCTAATTCTAAATTGCATATGCAATTTAAAAATAAATAAATGTTGTTTTGATTGAAACTTGAAATGCAACACCTATGTTTCATCTCCTTTGATAATTTGACTCAACATGTTATTGTCCTCCATGTAACAACTCAAAAAGGTCAAGGTACTTTCTAATCTCTCTTTTGTTTTGGTGGTCATCCGTTCCAGGTTTTAGGGACCCTCCAAGAGCACAATTTCCCTCAAGTTCTCAGACACAATTTTGTGCAATACTGACTAAAGGACATTTAATGGAGAACAAAGTTATTGGGAATCTAGTGACCTCCAAAATTATCGCTTCAACTGCAAATCATCAGTGACCACGAGTGGTCAACATGAGCAGAATTCATTACGAACATTTTCATACTTTTCCTTTGCCCAGATCTGTATATAACACCTCCCAAACCTGATGGTGAATTTACTCCTTCCCATTTTTTTTAGCCACAATTCATATCACTGACTGTATCTTGCACGTGGTAGATGATTTAATAATCGTTAACATTGAAGGTCCCGAAAGAAAAGCGTACAGGTTAGCTAAAAGACTGAAATTAGCATGTAAAAATCAATCAAAAGGGATGCTGGGAGGAACTGCGCACATTCGTTGCAACCTCCAAGAAATTAATGATTTCAAGGACAAGCAGTCCCCGATATATATGAAATTAAAATAAAATTCTTACCACTCATCATTATTTTCTGGCACAATACCACATCCCCGCGACCAGCAGCTGCACGAAGCTGCCTCTCAAGCTCCAGAATATGCACAGAGAGGTCCGCTGGAGCAGCAACTGGGGCTGGCTTCTCTGCCAAGACAACCTTCTCCTTCGACGAGGCCCTCTCAGTAACTGAAGCAGCACCTGTGTAAAGCGCAAATTAGTTTTGCTTAAAAGTGTTGGGTTGGTTGGTTTAATTATTTTTTGTTTTTTTAAAGTTTTTTGTACTTCATGAACAAGAATTGCATGAAAATTACATGTGACTCGTAATTATAGATGAAGAAAACTGAGGGGAAAAAACTCCTTGAAATGACACTACCGTGAGCAGACTATGGTATCATTGAACCATGCTTTGCTGAATGTTATTTATTTAACAGAGCATGTAGGATGGCAGTGCACAAGAGAGGAAGAGATATCTTGCGAACATATTTTCAAACAAAGCCACTATTCCCTGCCTCACACCTCTTCCGCTTGCACCTGTACACCCCTTTGTGGTTTTGGAGGAGAAACGAGACCACAGACAGGAATAGTAGCCCATCCTTGCAGGAGCACCAGGCTTTACAGGCAGGCATATTTGATACACCTACTTTACACCACTATCACAAGTATGTAGCAAAAGCTCAGTTTGTCAAAGCACTGCCACAAGCCATGAAAAAGTACAGGGGGCACAATACCTTAAAGACACCTGCTTTATCAATCAATCTCAGGTATTAAAAAAATTTCAAAACTTGCTAATATAGTTTGTTGGGAATGTGTATGTCTAGGGATGTTAATACAAAATTCACAATTTTGTGAAAAGAAAAAAATAGTTTAAGTAGATCAGCAATTTGCCTGCTTTACATACTCCAAACACATTATATCCCCTCTAGATGTTAATAGTTTTAAGTTATTAAGTTTTTATTACAAACACAATTTATAAAAAAATATTTTATTCTTAGTTTTTGTATCAGGTATTATTTCATAAAAGTTTTGTTATTATCACTGCAAGAATGGAAGACCTCAAGCACAAATAATGAAAATCCACAAAATGAGGTTTCTCACTTTTGCATTAAGCCAGTACAGTAAACTCTAATATAATGAACTTATGTCACTAGTCCTGGTTTCACTTACATTACAAATAAGCACAAGACGACTTGCTTACAGTGAACTCAAAACCTCGGCTATACTGAATGTAGAAAATACAACAACATGGAAATTAATTAATGGGAACCTTGCTGAAGACATTGTGCCACTCAATTTGACTGTTGAAACAAAGGCTGTGTCCTGCATGGGCTACACCTGGCAGCGATATGCGACCGTTTGCTTCAGTTTCAAACTTGATTAGGATACCGCGGGACAAAGCACAAGGTGTTCTATGTGGGCGACAAGGAGCACGTGACTGTTACAGCCCCACAGGTTGGCAACATCCACCATACAGCACAGAAAGGCGATCAGTTACATTAGCTGCTTCCCCCATGCCGCTACCGAAAGGATCTCATAATATATTAATCGCCAAATAAAAGGAACTTCAGAGAGTGTAACAGTGATCCAACAGTGCAAGAGGCATTGAAGGGGGGCGCGACTGCATTGTGATACTTAGACACAGAGGACAATGCAGAATCAAGTACGCAGAGAGCACGAACCTTGGAGGAGTATCTAGAGAAAATTACTAATGAAAAACATACAAAGCAAACAACTGAAAATAATACATTTTTAAAGTCAAATAAAGATATTGAAATTTTCAGTTTGTGCTGTTAATGTATTTTTCTGCATCTCTATTTTAATTAATTAAATCATTGCAAAAACATTCTATGTAATTTCAACATCACATATAGTGAACTTCTGATATAGTGAATCAAAAATGTTCGTCCCCAGAAGTTCACTATAACCAGAGTCAACTGTATATTCAATTAAACTTTTGTACCGGTTCAAGTAGTTCACAAATTCTCAGATGTAAAAGATCAATATATTTTTAATTCTGTAACAAACCACATGCCTCTGCAGTAATTAATAACAACCCTCATTACCAAGATGGAATCTTAAAAATACAGAATTGTGAGTTCTCATTATTTACTCCCAAAGCTTTCAATTAATTATGATACTTGATTGCTATGATACCTATGATTATATTACATGTACTATCTCTATTCATTAAATTAAAATAGTTAAGTTAGCATTAATCCAGGCTACATCAAATGCATACTGTTGTGAAATTCTAGTAATTAATTAATTAATTAATTTTCTGTTAGAAGTGTCGTGGTGATTGAAATCTGCATTTGACAGAAGAGGAAAATTACTCTGCACTTGGATTAATGAAGAACTGTCGATAATTTCCTGATGGAATTTTTCATTCATATCATCCACCTACATAAGTAATAAAATATAAATAATCAGGTCAATTTTACAACTCTCTTTAATGGATAGGTTAAGCAAGACTTTTGTGTTGCAACAAAAAAACTATTCTATTTTATTCCTTTAATTTGATGACTGTATGTCCCTAAATGTGGAGAACATTATATTTTGTTTCGCAATTTTTAGGATTCTCAATTATTGAGGACAATAAAATGATAAAATATTTTTAATATCAAATTCTCTTCATAAACATCATAAACAAGTAAAAGTGAGGTAATAAGCTACTTTCTGGTGAAAGACAATTTTATTTTCATTTGAATTCAAAGTGATCAATAAGGACTTGAATTAATGTGCATGAACTGGGAAACCAAATTATAGTTTGAAGTACATGCCACAGAGATGTTCTGTACCTTATTATGGAACTTACACTAAGACAATCTGACATGTTTGCTGTATGTTGACCCATTAAACAATTATTATCCTTCAAAATTTGCCACTTCCTTTCAATATTGTGATTCATCCAAATTGTGAACACAAGAACAACTTCAGAGAATGCTATTTTATACAACTATCATGAAAGAGCATTGGATGTTTTTCACATACCTAAACCATTGTGTAACTGCTGTTAATTTGCATTCACTAATTGCCATGTGTCTTATTGTTTCAGCAAAGCATCCTGATTTCTGTTTAATTTTATTATACGAAGCATAACTAACACCGTTATTCTGTTATTTAAATAAACAAATGCAGCAAATTCAATTCTAAAATTTGTCAGTCACAAGCTACATTTGACTTTTCTAGTGGTATCTAATATTGAGAGAAACATTGGATTCTAAAACACTGTAACCCAACAAATTCAATACAAAAATTGAAATAGACAAATACTCCATTCAAAAGTACGTTGTGTGACATATTTACAATGTTCTTTACACCAAACCCAACAAAGTTGCATATAAATTTTCCTCAATAATTATCCTTAATCATTAAATGACAAGCCATTAAAAGAAGTTATGAACATAAACTCAGTCTCCCGTCAGACTTTGTGTGAGCAAACCTGAACTGGTGTTGGCAGAAGCTGCAGATAATCCATTTTTGACAGGACCAGCGTCTGCCAAGGAAGTGTTCTTGGGGCAGGCACATGCTGCTTTCGAATGGCATCCAGAGCATGGCATTCCACTGCCAGGCTTGGCGCGTGCCGCAGGTTGAGATGTGCTGCTCGCAGAGGGAGAAGACGCTGTTGCTCGAGTAGGGGAAGACGGGTTGGGATATGGTGGGAAAAGCGGAGGCTTTGATGCTATCTGACTTGTCGCACTTGCTGGTAACCCTGGAACCCATCAATAATTCCAACACTTTTTTTAACCCTGCATTGGTATAGTGGTATATTAGCATAATGTCAGTAGTCTGGTAAGGTTTGTAAAACCCCATTGTTACAATCACCTTTTTAATTAAAAAATCTGGTGATTTAACAGATTTCATTAAATTTAATTTTCATTAGGACATTTTACTAACCGACCGCTGTTATACAGCTTTTCCTACCAGCGTAATGTCTTTGTGAATCTAGTCGAGGAAAAGAGTGTACCCATTAACAATCCTCCCAAAGTTATCAATAACAAAGGTAGAAGAAGCTGTGTGTATGTTGCTTATACGATCTTTAATCGTTTAAATGAAGATCTAAAGCGTTTAGATATGAATAAGAAGTTTAATAGACAGCTTCTTAGGAAATGGTTGGTAAACTTGAGTGAAGAGAATGTGAAGTTATGATGAAATAGCAAAGATCAAAATTGTGTCAGTAAACATATTTCTACTGTAATTATTTCTACTTTTTTGTAATTTTATAATTTTGAATTTTTCTAAATTTTGGAATGTTTGTATTTTTGTGCTTAAAACTTGAAACTCTTTATTGTTAAAATTGGAATAGCGTTCATTCATGTCTTGCACACAGAGAAATAAATTGAAATTTTGCACATGCCAATGATCTGATTAACAACAACGAAGGAATATTTTACAACACAAACTACTGAACTAGTTGAAACATTACTGTTGAAAGAGATGGTGTAATAATCATTAATCAGTTCATAAATTCACTAAACAAGATGAGAAACATTCAAGTTAATAGGTGCATTGAAATATCTTATTAAAAAACTATTAAGAAGTTAAAAATTTCCAACAAATTAAAGTAGTATAATGGAAAGTAAATTTTGAGACTGAAATATATTTCAAATCAATGTAGTTGCACATACCGTCACATTATTTGTATCTTTTGCAATTTTCAAAAATTCATAATTCAACAAAAATAAGATCTACGACATTCCTATAATCATAATTTGCATGCTATCCCAGAAAAAAATTATAGCCATTTTTGAGTAAGCTAAAATTGCCTATATTTACGGTAAAATTTTATGAAAATTACATTTTGAAAAATTTGTACATCATACATTTGTAATTTGATCTCATTTAATGATCTTAATTTGAAGAACATACTTCATCAAGAAAATCTCTTTCTTGATAATGCAGTTGCAGGAAAACATCGACAAAAATTACGTAATTTTCAAATATTCAAGAAGTTTAATAAAAATCAGATATGCATCATTATTATGAAGCTACTTTGCTTTAGTAATTTCCAGTGGTAGACAGGAGTTCTGTATTGTGGCACTTGTATTATTTTGAGTTTAGAATGCTGAGCTTATCACAAAATTACGAACTATTGGAAAATAATTCATAACTTAGGATTAGAAAATTTTGGAAACTAATTTGGATGAAATATGTGAAAATTCTGATTCTGAAAAATATATATTGTTGTGCTGATTTTTTTAATGATGTATTTTTGTAATATATTCAAATCAGTGAAATATAAAAATTGCCACTTTTACTTCTTTTTCCTTTGATTTAAAATAAAAAATTAGTTAATAAGGGTTTATGCATTTCTTTCACCGAAAGAATTACTGATATCACTTAAAATACTTTCATATACTCTGAGTTTTCGGACCCAATGGATCACCAAGTGTCTGCGATATGTTAAGATTAGAATTGCCAATGTGATCAAGTTGACTGCAACATCTACTCTGCATTAAAGAATAATATTTCCTCATCCACAATATTTTTAATTGTAAGATACAGAATGAAGGTGGATCAAGAGAGAGTCATATTGCTTAATAAAATTGTAGTGAAAAAATATTGTTTAGATTTTTGGGGGATCTTTACATAAGGACCCAACAACATCGTCAAACTTTTCACAGAAATTGCCTAAATTTTTCTGTAGATTCTTTTACAAAAGGTATTACTAGCTCGCTAGTTCCTAAAATAGTTTACAAATTGGCCAACAGATAGTATAACACAGCCACCCACATTACACTCAATGGAGACATCCAAGTGACTAGAACTAACTTCTATACAAGAATGCACCTAAGAATGAGCCAAAATGACAGTTCCCCAAACAAGTGAACATCACGTGTAATTCAGAGAAGTACCCCTCCGCCACAACAGCTGTTCAGCCACGCCTTTTCGCAAAGGGTTTATGTAGTATTAATAATAGTAAATAGTAATAATAATGATGATGATGATGATGATGATGATGATGATGATGATGATAATAATAATAATAATAATAATAATAATAATAATAATAATAATAATATCCATTGAGTCACATACAATTACAATCATGTACATGAATATGTGTTGGGTGGAGAGAGTTGGGTGGACTGTTCAGAAGCGAAACAAGGGGCCATCTCTGCATTAGCTTAAGGGACCAGGGAAACTAAACAAAATACCTGGGATCGTGGCCTTATATTTGTACATGGCGCCTGTTAAGACATCATGGCTTCTTGTAGTTCACAACCGTGTAATTATATAATAATAAATTAATAAAACGCAAACCACTCAATGTTCTCAATCACAGCTCGCCCCTTTACCCCACAGGAGCAGGAAGCACGTGTGTCAGTACGTGTCTGATGTTCAAGACTCGGTTTTCAAATAAACATGATACTTATCACACAAAGCTCAATTCAATGTAATGTTAATAAAAAAGAATTTTTACAGAACAGCACAGTAGCACTGCACTTCCTAATTTCAATTATTTCTTGTGGCGAACTATATTTTCATTGAACGAAGACATCACAAAAGGAAGCGTCAATGCCACTTGTAAGTTAGCCAACTGCTAACGAATGAATGAACGAAAGGAGGAGACTCAAATGGACTGAAGGACACAACGACCACAGAACCTTCAGTTATGTTGTCAGCACTAGCTGTGAAAACGATCCATTCTTATAAAAATCGCTCTATACTGGGAATGTGCAAAAAAAGATGAAGAAATGTGCGCCCGAGCTACACTTGGACTTGGGACTCTCAAGCATTAAGTACAGCCCAAGTACAGGTTTGGCTTTAGCTTCAACTTGATACAGGTTTCTTTCTAACAATAAAGATGTATATGTCTATGAGGAGGTTTTTGCAGCCAATGTACATGTTCATATTTTAATATAGCTATAAATCCTTAAATGTTGTTTTTCACCCAAATGTCTCATGTGTGAAGAAAAACTAGATGATGCAACAGGCTTATTGATTGCACAAAGTGTACCTGCTCATTAAAAAAAATATACCTGCGAGAAGAGCATCTAGGCGTGGCATGATTCTATCCAGTGCATTTTCCATGGATTTCTCCAGCTGGAACATTCGACCACGCATACTATCCATACCCAGAAGGCATTCCTCCACCACACTTAAACGAGAGTTCAGTTCCTTCACCGCATCTTCCAGTTGTGCCATGCGTTCTGAACAAACACATTTCTTCTTACTTTGGACTTCTGTGGCTGCCATCTCTCTGCAACAACAGGCTCTAAATGTCTCAGCTACATAATTATTTAAAGTGAGCGAGTACATGCAAAGAACTTCCAATAATAATTAACATTTCTGGGGGAAGGGAAAATGGCAAACCAGTTCTCAGAATTAAAGCCCTGTAAATCAAGCAACCTGTCAGAAGTCTCATAGTAATGTATATTTCGATATACATTACTGTGTATCAAAAAATCAAGGTTCTACTTAAAATGATCGGAGAAAATAATGTTTTAACATGTTCCAACACTCTCTTATCAAATCTACAACAGATTAACGCAGTGTTCAAATCATATCTGCAGAACACCTATGAACATTTTGCATATCATTATCAGACATCTCCAAACTTTCAAAACGCTCTCCTGTACAATTTCCTCAAAGCTTAATACATTGTAATTCTGAGGCCATGTTTAGTAAATAACAAAAATTTATCCTATCCCAAAAAAGTAAATACCAACTACACTTGATCCGGTTCACAACTTTTAACTCCTATGACTGAATCCAAACGTTCCAATATCCTCTGTGAAGAGCACAATTTTTTTACAATTATTTACTATATTACTTCTTTTAAACAACTAAATTTCATTTTAATATTCCTAAATTAAAAAACAATCGGAAATCAACAAACATTTCCAGTGATTATAAAATTCAAGGTTTTCAAAACTTCTAGCTTCAAAATTCAGTGCTGTTGTAAATACATTGCATATTATAGTATATACACAACATTTCTTTCAATTAGTTTTAATTACATTTGCCAGTAAGCAACTTCAGTGTGCAATGTCACGTGAAACAAAGTCACTGGAAATCAGAAATTTAAAAAAAATTCTTCAATAATGCGGTATTCATGAATTTTTAAAATTGCTCTTATCAAAGCAGTATCAATAATCGGCCCAAATGTAATTTATTCATTATTTGGACAATCTAAAACCATTTTAATGAAAAAATATATCTTCCTTCTTGGATTTTCAAAAAAAAATTAAATCAATTCAAATGTGTTCAACTCTGTTCGCACGTGCCGGGGAGAATATAGGGGATCTTTGATAGGATATAGAGGCCAGGAATATTTGCATATTCTTTGACAAAAATATATGTTGGTAAATTGGCACTAGCCAGACTCAAGAATGTTTTATGTGAAACACGCAGATCAAGGCTAGAGCCTCACTAGAACGGCATGAACGGCATGAGCAAACCGTATCAACTTTCCTAAGAAAGTTTTAGGCATTAATATGAATTTGAATTGTGAACTTTAAAATGCAATTCCCAAAATTGTATTGAACTACCTTAACTTACTAGTGTCATACTGTGTCAGAAAACACATACGGCACAAATAATACATTTGATTTCAGGCTAGATAAATTTAGACAAAAAATTGAAATATGCTCATACAATGACAAATTCTTCAGGACAGATTACATTATCAATCCTGGCAATTTGAAAAATTGCTCAAGCTAAGAATAAATTTAATTTTAAATAAAAATGCATCGGGAACAAGTTTATCCACTTCAGTAATGTGGAAGAAATAAAACTGATTTATTCCCCTGAGCATACCTGATATTTAACGCACAAATTCTAATTTTACAATACATTTATCAAAGTGACACAGACAGTTAGACTACAAGATAACAAAAACTAACCAATTAATGTAACTCAAACCAGTTTAATTTCGACGTTCGAATTGAATACACGTAAATAGAAGTTAAGTTACAATACTCTCTCAACTTCAAGATCAGGATGTACACTTTTCTCTACGTTTCGTTACAAACATCGACCCTTGCGCACACTTCTGTTACAAGACAAGCAATGCTTCAAGTTTACTCCAGGTTTACTCCTTGTCATTTCCAAAGAGTAGTATACCTTCGGTCGGTTCGTGCCGTGGAGTGTGGACGGATCGCAGGATCGGCGAACGAAAGGGAAGAACGAGTGCTGATAATGGGGTCATTCGGTTTTGTGGATAAAATGAGAATGGCGCATTTTAATTAATAACAAGACGCATTTGGGAATAAATGCGTTTAAAATTAAGCGTTGAGTAGGCTCAAGATGTTTCATCGCGTAAGCAAGAAGGCTTCGTCATCAAGTTAATAGTCATCAATGCGACAAAGCAATGCGTAAAATCTTGGAATAATAATTTGTTCTATCATCATACATCAAGTTAAAAGAATTTGACAAAATGGTACTTTGTAATAAAATGTGTTGGAAGTTATGAGTTGGACAGACCCAAAGATCTTATATGTTAATTTCATATACCGAATGCCAGAGCCATGTGACACGCTTAGCGAAATGTCACAATGCTTTAAAAGTGTTTTTTTAAATATAGAAATACGGCGCCATTACGTTCGCAGGCCCGCATTTTACCCGTTTTATTTCTTTAAAACAACTAATTTTCATGATAAGTTTGTATTCCTAGCAGATGTGGAATTCAGGAGGGCAAGGGGGAGAGCAACGGCCCCCCCTCTCATCTATGGACAAATTTAAAAAAAATTATATTTAGACATATCATTCCGAGGATATTCAAATTCATATCTATAAAAGATTTACTTTTTTCTGTATTTTGCAAAGAAATATAATAATAATAATAATAATAATAATAATAATAATAATAATAATAATAATAATAATAATAGTAATAATTCCTAATGACAGAAAAATTACTTATTATTAATTAAATTATATAATAATAAATATAATTAATTAATTAAATTATTATTGAAGAGTAAAACACCATCTTACATTGAAATTTTCGTTGAAAAATTTGGAGCCATTTTTACGAAAATTGCTTTTAAGCGTTAATGTAAATGCGAAATTTGAAACTCTTTTTCACAGAAAACTATTGAGAGTTCGGAAAACGTTATTGAAAGTCGCTTGAAGTACTGCCACTCAGAAATGCAATAATATATACAAATTGCCGAAAATCTGTATATTAATGGCGTGAGAGATATTTAAAAAAAATTACATTTTTGTAATTCTGTAATTCTTGAAGAAACTAAATAATACAGCAAAATGAATTTTATGTCATCTCAATCAGTGCAATTAGCATTATCCTTACAAAACGTTTGAAGGAAAAACGTCGGTCCGTTTTTGAGAAAGAGTGTTAGCGTGTTACTGAAAATTCGAAAATTTGAGCTCATTTTCACAGAAAACTGTTGATTTATCGAGAAACTTTATATTGATTGATTGATTGAATTTGCCTTATTTTACTATTAAATTTTACTTATACTTATTAAACTTTACATTCATCATTTAAAGTATATGTGCTCATAAATTGAATGATATGAACAATAATAATATGATTTTTTTACGAAGAAATAAATCTTCAGCTTCTTCTATTCTGCGACTCTTGAGAGTTTACAACTATGTATATTCGGTAGTCATAGGAGCATTTTAACTTTCTTGTATGTGGAGTAATATACATAGTATAGAGAAAATTATAGAATGTTGCGCGAAAAAAAACGGCGAATTTTCGGCAGAAAACTGTCATTACTGATAACTGAGTAAAACAGAAACCTAAATTAAGATTTTTTCCATAATGGATATTCCCTGGTCGATCTAACTCGACTCGAGGCAATGGGATTATATAAAAAAAAAAAAACCTTTTCAAAGCCCTAAGAACATTTTCAAAATTTTCTCAAAATTGGCTCCAAATTGTTTGAAAGAATAAAGTATAATACTCTTAAAAAGATAGCGTAGGTCCGATTTTGACTCTTAACTCTGCATTTTCGAAAATCGCCAACGTTTTAATTTTTTTCGACTTATTCCTCGTATTATAAAATTGAAGGTAGAGATTTTTCCTTCAAGTAAAACTGGTCCTCCGCCCTTAGGCCTGTGTCATACAAGTGTTACGTTGACGCGCGTCAGCTCACGTGAATGACGTCGGCTGCGTCGACGACAGACCACACGAGTCACATAACGCGCGACGTAGATTAACACTGTATCTTATCCGAAGCGACATATGAGCGCTCTTCGCTACGTGCGTTGTGTCCATATCTCAAGACGCGCGTTAAGCGACACATAAATCAAGTAAGTTGGCAAAGGAGCGTGTCACCAAGAGCGTTCGTGTGTCGTTTCGCGTAAGATTTAGACTTAATCTACGACGCGCGTTAAGTGCCTCGTGTGCAAAGGTATCGATGCACGTCAATGCAACGCTTGAATGTCACAGACCTTAGATCAGTTTTGCGCGCGCGATGCCTTCCGAGAGTCTTTAACCAAGATTCCCATAAAAGGGAAATATGATTTAGCAAGTAGGAAAGCTGTGAAATGGGAGAAACGAACGCGTCGTGGTTTCATTAAGGGATATTTATTAAAATTAACTGTTATTACCTCAAACGAAAGTAATCCCCCGCTAGGTAAGGTACTCTTGAATTGAATTTATGCCTTTTTGGCGAGACTCAGACCATCAGGTCCGCTCTTCCGTCTGACCTCGCAAATTTCGCTACGCTCCTTTCACCAACTAGCAGAGAAAGGGGGTATTTCTTGGGCGAGAAACAGGCGATTTTTAATTTAGCTCAGAGGCGTCGTTTAGGCTGGATCTACTGACACTTCCCCTCCCTACGAAGAATTTTTTCGCTCTTAAAAAACGACATATACGATCGGGTTTGAACCCGCCAACATGGGTACAACTGTCCGATACGCTAACCGTTATACCATCGCCGCGCGCAACTCTTGGATGCCATCTTGCAAAGGATGCCATCTTGATTGATTGGCGATTCCAGGCGAAACAACGTCTAAAGTAATTAGTTCTTTAAGTGTAGTGCATGCTTTCATCGCGTGACATGGCGGTAATCTTCCCTCGCTGGATGGTGAGATCCGGCGCCGACCTTTGTTGGTACGCGGGGAATTTTCTCCGCCAGGTATCTGGCACTAACGTGGCACCGTCCCTGCTCTAAGCTTCCAAGTGTGATAGTGTAGTCCGTGTGAGTATAAATAAGAAGGAAAGAGGAAGGAAAAATCGCGCGCGGTCCCTTTGTCAGGGTACTGCTCCGGCATTCGCCTGGTGTTGATCGGAGAAACCAAGGAAAACTGCAGTTTAGAAGAGCTGACCGCTAGAATTATCCTTTAAACAGCGGCTCAATTCGACCTAGCTGTCTACCTTGAGTCGAAAATTCTGCCACAGTCGGGATTCGAACCCTAGGACCTCCTGGTCACCCAGAGGCACTGCAGTGTCATCAATTGATGGCCAGAGCCACCTCAGCCAATAGCAATCTGACGTGTCCCGTCATAGGAAGATATTTAACCAACAATTAACTCAGCCTATTAAAATAGTTAAAAAAACACTCGAGATGACCCCTACTAAAGGTCAGCCTACAAAACGTGGCTGGCTGCTGGCCACTAGCCAGCTGAAAAGAGTGCATTTTTACATGTGTCTTCCGAAAAAGAAAATAGGTTCAACAAAGAAATGGCCATTAGTGGTGACTGCTTAATGAAGGCGACTGTTTGATCAGGTTCCACCGTGCTTTGTAATTAAATTTCAACTCTAAAGGCCCATACAGTATGTCTCTGGTACAAGAGATGTTCTGTCACGAAATCTGCTTGATAAACTTTTCTTAAAATATATCTCTTTTCAGATTTACATTAGAAATGCTATAACATTAATTTGCTAATGAAATTTTATTCACTCATTAAAATCATGTTTTGGAAATTATCTTCAAAACACTCACAACAGGAATGGTTTACAAGATTAAATAAATTTATTCAGTATGCCCTACTATATTAATGTGTGTGGTGATAGGTAGAGACAAAGAACTTTATAAACATACATTCTTCAAAACTATCTCTTAAAATATATGTAGATTTAGTTTTATTCAGTAAAAAAACAGTAAAAACTGTATGTGATGTATGGTGGAGAAGATAATCTGCACATTTCCTTGAGTTCCAGAATCCCTTTCCATCATTTTACCTACAAATAGTTGTAAGATGAGTGAAAGTTAACGATAAATAAATAAATAAAAATAAAATTTTTAAAAAGCACGACATTAGCAACATATGAAAAACTAGACATTTTCATTCCCAAGTTGTAGAAAACTTATTTGCAGCAGTAAACGAACCCAGATTTTTATTTCTGCATTGCAAACAAAATAGTAACTCACCCTTACCTCTACACCTACCACTACAAGCAAAAGGAGAGTTCAACAAAATGTGCGCATAGTGAAGCTATTTACATCCAGATAAAAAACAAGGGGCCATCTCAGCATTTGCTTAATGTATCAGGGAAACTATACAAAAACCTGATTGAGATGGGGATGTATGATTGAAATCTTAGGGATGGCCCCTTCATCAATAACACAGCTGGATAATCGGTTTTGCTTGCCTATTCTTCTTTCTAAGAGAAATCCTGATTATTTTCAATATATAAAAAACATTGTGTCATGTAATAAATAAATTACTTCATTATAAAATGTTCTTCATAAAGTTTTAATTACTGCATTTTTCCTTTTAACTCAATTAATAACTTTCAAATTTCATTAACAATAAAAATAATTACAATTATGTAATAAAGACTTTGAATAATGCAACAGGTACATCACTTTCAACAATGGAAAATACAACTCTCAAGGACGACTTCACCATTACCGATAGATTACACAAATTACTAAATGAAAATAAGGAGTTAAAAACCCAAATATAATGAAATATTTTTATCACAATGTACAATAATACTCTAAAATCAAGCAACCAAACAGTACACAAAATTTCAAAAGGTCTCAGATGTTAACTGAGAGAGAAAGACCCATATCAGATATTAGAAGATAGAAAAGCACAATAACAATAATTAGGAATGAAAAATATTAAAGTTCTTTGTAAAATTATTAAATATCATTGAAATATTTTATTTTGTGTACAAAAAAGAAACTTTTAATTCTGGTTCATTAACATTTAGTGGTAAATTTTTATTGCATTTTCTTACAAATTTGCACATATCTTCATTGCCTACAGGTTTCAGTAATTGTTATGACAGGTAGAAGTATGATACATCTTTAATTGATTTAACATTTCACAACTAAACAATTGAGTAAATAGCACAAAACAAAGTGTGAATTTCAGTGGCTGCAACATGCAATTTTATGTTAAGGAAAAGAAAACAAATCCATACACAAAAGAATATAGTGATTGATTAATTGTAAGAATTATCAATGAAAAAGCAAACATCCTTCAGTTTAAATATTCCAGTCAGTAACAAATATTTAACAAGAGCAAGCTTGGTTCTAACTGCCAATATCCACAACAGAGCAACAAGATATCTCAATATAAGGGAAATCCAGAAAGTTTTTGTTTCATTTTTCAAAAAGAAAACACATTTTGGTGGAATTTTACTGGAAAAAATACTAGAGCAATTTAAAAAAATATAATTTGAAATAAATAATCATACAAGGACTAACAGGATAATAATGATAAATTGGCCAACATTTGCTATATTTATTCCAATAAATCCATCAATTCCAAAAGTGTACTTTCTGGATCCCAATTTTCAACCCTAGATATAACATCACACAGGATATACAGAACATAAAAAATCCATCTTGTAAATTCTATAACCATATTAGAAAATAATCAATATGATTCTCAATACGTAGAATAGTACATCCACATTGGCACATACTCTTTCCATACACACGATTTCAACACACATTTTTATAATCACATACACGGATTATTCTGTGCCTTGGAATTCATGTTAACAAGGTTTTACTGTGCAACACAAAACAAAGGTTCAATATTCATAAAACAATAGAGAATCATGACTATTCATATCAAAACCTCATAGAAAGTTTTCTTAACAAAATAAGTTGTATGTGTTACAACAAACATTAACATCCATATCCACAAATAAATTCTTATCAATGCTCAACATAAGTTCAACTTTAAAGCTTTCCTTCTGACAGCACAGAAATACTCCTGGATATTTTCCATAGCCTATTTTCCACCTTCTGTAACATTACACTTTTCTTTACAAGAAAAAATATTAATAAAACATTCACATGGCACATTTTACAAGGCATCAATGACCATTGGACAATTTGTCTAATGCTCTGGGAACAGACAATAACTTCGTGCGATACAAATGTGCACAGAAAGCAGCAAATATATACATGGAATGATAAGAGCACAAACCTAAGTTTATTAAGAAATTCATATTTCAGAGAGCAGGGGAAAAAATTCTTCATTTATGCATATAAGTTGCGGGTTTTTTCCTATCTCCCTCATGTCACATTAAAATTATTGTGATTTACAAAAAAGTTGGTGGATGAAATGTTTAATTGATTCCTCTAGTAACATTACTTATTTTGTAACCAACTATACATCTTTTATTAAATTCTCTTAACATTTGGTCCAATATCTCATATTACACTCACTTCAGTAATATAAACAGTATTGAATACAATGAATTATTGCATGCAAAAATAAAAACCTTTTCTCTTGCAGACTGTCAGCATTTAATACTCAAAATACTTTAGTTAAATATATTCCTATGTTTCTTATGGTTTAGTTAACTTTATACAACTAAAAATATATCCTCTATAGAAGTTATTTTCACTGAATTGAAAAGTTTTTCTTCCTATCCTATTCAAATCAATTTCTTTTAGTTACATGCTCTTGAAGATTTCTGAATCCATAGAAATTAAGGTAGTAAGTAATTTTATATTATTGGTGTTATGTTTCTAAAGACATAACTCTGCAGTAACAAAATTGTTGTAAATTTTTTTATTTAATGAACCTAACAAATATACAGTAAAAACATTTTATCTGCTGGAATGAATGATAAATTGTTAAGTGTTCATTTGAGACACAGTTTAAAATTTAATCAGACATCATTTCATTGTTATGAAACAACAGGGCATCTACTGGACATAGAGAATGAATATAAGAAGAGAGGATCTGTTGAAATGTAATTTCCAGAAAGAGATAGCGACAGTATTACATTGCACATAAACTTTGTAGTGGATTTGGCAAAAAACAACCCGAAATCAGTGGGCATGTGTTGATTACAGGTCACAGGCCCGGAAAAGGAAAACGTAATGGAAGAAATGTCACACAACTTCAACGCAGAGAAGCTTGGACGCTGAAGGAATGACACTGAGAACATGAAGGATACTCTAGGAAAGTTACGCCTGATTTGGTGACACCAGGCAAGAAACTTGTTTGGGAGTTAACAGCAAAGCTCTGCAAATTTGGAGGGCATTCTGAAAAAGGAACACTTTTCGGTGGAAGTGGAAGTGCAGGACTAATGACAGGATTGTACCGTGAAGTTGAATAGTGTCCCAGAAATGACACACTTGACAGTGGAAGTAAAGGGTGTTTATCCGAAAATAGTGTTTTCTTGTTGGCATTATTACCCTCTGAAGTGGATGGGTAAATTTGTATGTTGTCAGCATTGCTCTGTAAATCTACAGAGAGCCCTTGAAAAGACATTTGGCAATGAAGGTGCTTGCGTGGCAGCAGGATTACACTGCGAATGTTTAAAGGACTCTGAAAATGAAATATTTGATGGTGGAGCGGAAGTTCTTTGGTGGCAGCAGGACTACAATGCAACTGTGATAATGAAACACTTGCTGGTGGTAAAGGAAGAGGATCGTGCAAAAGCAGTGTTTGAGTGAGAGCTTGTTTATGCTCTGAATTTGATGTGTGTGTTTGGGAGTTGACAACATTGCTCAGCAAATCCAGAGGGTGCTCTTTGACAGGAACATTTGAAAGTGGAGGTGGGCAAGAATGGGCTGTGTTAGTGATTGTTCTCTGAACTTGAAAAATGCTCTGGAAACAAAATATTTGTCAATGGAACAAGAGGGGTTCTGGTGGTAGCTGAATTTGCAGAGTATCCAGGTAAAGGAAAACTTGAAGGGCCAGAAAAATTCGTTTGTATGGTGCAGGCATCATACGGGTAGACTGGTATTTCAAAAGGGATGTGTGAACCTCTCATCTCATAGTCAGTGCCAGCTCTGGAATCAGGATGCTTCTGCCAGGCAGGAGGATACATCAAAATTCCTTTGACAGAAGAAGCAGTAGCAAATCTTCTTCCATTCATGAGGATTGGAATAGGTAACCCATCCACATGATCATCTGCAGGCTTCTTTCTCTTCCCTTGCTTTCTGTTCTCTGAATGTTTGGAGCTCTGGGCTTCCGGTTCCTCTGGTGGCTTCTCACACTTGATATCACGATATACAGAGCTGGGAAAGAGCAAAGATTCGTTCTTTCTCTTTATTAGATGATTGGAGCTCTGGACGTCTGGTTGCTCTGGAGGTTTCTCACATTTGACACTAATACTTGCAGAGATGGAAGGAGATTCATTGTTTCTCTTCATTGGATGTTTGGAGCTCTGGATTTCTGCTTCCTCTGGTAGCTTTTCACACTTGTTACCATGATATGCAGAGCTGGGAGAGGGTGAAGATTCGTTCTTTCTCTTTATTAGATGGTTGGAGTTCTGGATGTCTGGTTGCTCTGAAGGTTTCTCACATTTGACACTATTACTTGCAGAGGTGGAAGAATATTCTTTCTTTCTCTTCATTTGAGGTTTGAAGTTATGTTTTTCTGTTCTCTCAGAGGGTTTAATACCACCATTTGCAGTGCAGGGACTGGAGGAAATTTCTTCGATTTTCTGTAGTGGAGGCTTGGAAGTCTGGACTTTTGGTTCTTCACATTTGATACCATAATTTACAATTCTGGAGGTAGAGAAAGCCTCTTTCGTTGTCTTAACTGGAGTTTGGAAGTCCTGCACTTTTAGCATCTCTGATAGTTGGTTTTCATATTTCCTTCTGTGATTTGCAACATTGGGCTTGGAGAAAGTTTCTTCCTTTTCTTGGCCTACAAGTTTGTACATGAGGGCATCATTCTCCTTGGCAGTCTTCTGTTCATTTTTTATCAAATCGAGACTATGTCCTGCCTTCTTTGAAATTTTATTGGCTTTGTCTGAAGTTTGACAAAATTCAATTTCTACATAAGGATTGTACAAGTTACTTACATTTCCCAAATGCTGTTTATTTGAATTTTTTTCAGAAGATTTGGAGGTTTCCATTTGACAAACTGCAAAAGACTTTTCTTTAGGATTAATACATGGATTGCTAGCTCCCACAGACCCTAATAACTGCACACCTTTATTGCAAAATTTAATTGTGTCTGAACTGTTACTAGTAGTTATATCTTTGCTCTTGCTATGCCTGTATTTGTGCTTGGTTTCTCTATAATCCCTACTGTGCTTGTAATATTTGCATTTATGTTTTTTTCTGGAGTTCTCTCTGGACTTGCTTTTGTTGTTATTCACAGGTCTGTGCATATCAATGGGCCTCTTGATTGTGTAGTTGTCATTGTTGTTACTACTATTTTTGGAGAACCTTTCTATGTTATTCTTTGAACTGGTGTGAGGATTACTTTGTTTATAATTTCCAGATAGTATGTTTTTGGTATCTTCCCTGAATTTGTTCTCAATGCAATTTTTTGATTTAGTGGTACTTCTACTTTTATAATTACTTTTAGTACTTGTTTTAATGGGGCAACAAATCTTGTCACCACTACTTATGTCATATACATGATTAATATTCTTGGATTTATTGATATCCTTTAAATTAATTTTGGAACTGCTTGTGTCCGTGCAGCTTCTGTTATCATTCCTATTAATTATTTTCTTCTCTAATCTTTCGTTCACTTCCAAAATCAATGTTTCAGCTTCCTGCAGAACAGTTAGTGTAGCTTCCAGATTATGCAGTCGTGCAATAGAACTCCAGAGTCTTGTCTCTGCACGATCCATTTTTTGCACCAGATCTTGCAGCTGTTGCAGCTTCTCTTGGCTCATTTCTTCTCCCTCCTCATTTCCCTTGCGGCCATTTTCAGCAGCACTCATCTGCACCAAACAATTTACAAAACACAGAAACAGATTTTAAATTCAATAATAGCTAATATTTGTTACAGGCCTATTTTGATAACTTTTTATTATTATTTTTTTTACTGTGGATACAATATATGGAAGACAAAAGCAGGTAAGTAATTGGAAATTTGTATGACACAAACATTAATTTTAAATTCTTTGAGATTCAACAGTAGTATAAGATAACAGAAGTATTCAGATGGAGGTAACATACAACTCAAGACTATTTTTGTTAAACCAGAATATGCATGTATGTAAATAGTATTTTGAATCTTAATTGCATTCTTTTAGTTTTCTAACTTATGACATATTAACTGCAACTTTCAATGTAATAATCACACAATGCAGCAAGATTTTTTTTAAACTTTCTTAATATTATAGAACAAACTGGAAATATAAGAATAAGTGATGAAATTCAAGCGAAATGCATATCTGATGGTACAGATAATTGAACATCATGTTACGAGACTTGAAATCAGACTTTGTTCAGAAGGAAAAACTACCAAGGAAGAAATATTTTCAAAACCTTACAACAAAATGATAAACAAATTTTGTCATGACCGTTACCTGAAAATGTAAATTTTAAGGAAACAAAAAGTGAACCTAAACTGATTAAACTTTGATATCACATACAACCCTACTGTTTAATTGAAGTTTTCCAATAAAATATTCTTTATTAACAAAGGCTCATTGAATAAATACATTTCTTTAACTGTGTGTGATATATTATGTTCTCGGTGTTCATTGTTCATAAAAAATAGTGCATGAAAAATACATTCATAGCAAAAATTTTGACAAATATTCTAAATATGATTTTCTTTGAAAATGTTTATATTTTTGTGTTCTTCTTCTCTGAAATAACACTTATGCATTTGTGCTTTTTGAAACTTTGACAGCCATGTTCTAGATCTGCTAAGATCTGGATTTTTTTTCAAAAATTAATTTTCTATGCAGAATCACACCTTTGCCCCCATAATAATTTCATATTTCTGATTCGGGGATTACCTGGAGAGTGATTTTTGAGGGTATGAAGACAACTGCCACATTTTCAGAAAGATATCAATATCTTTCTTTAAATTTCAAGTGCACACTCAGTGCTCTTAAAAAAGCACATCTTGGCCGAATAAAGCAACATGTTTGCAAAAATTAATAGAAAGAAAGCTATTAGAGATTTCAGGAGAAAATTGCTCAGAGATACTTCTTGAGTTATGAGTATTGATTCTGCATAGAAAATCATACTTAGAATTTCACCATAAACAAAACACAAAATACAATGAATAGTCACCCTCCATTATTTATCAGAGGTATTATCTTTTTATGATTCAAATGGACACCACTATAATTCTATAAATTTTATGGTTCCTACATGAAATAAAAATTTGGACAATTAGTAATAAACAGAATTGCATTAAAACTTTCATTGTATTCTGCAATAAAGCAAATTATGGGAGTCCTGAAATAAACCTAAATTCGAGAGTTCATAATTCAACATATGAATGAGTTCACAATATAAATAACTATGGCTTATCGTGTATGGTCATTTGGCCTTTTTTAACATAAATGTGGTTTCCATTTCTAAACAGATATTTGGATCGGCGAATTACGTTTCCTTACAAACCATTCAGTTCTTACCTTATCCGTTAAGTACCTGTCACTAAAGTTATTATTATTTTCATTGGGACGCAATACGCTGAGCTTTCTATAAGACACTTGTTGATTCTAAGTTTTGAAATACACAGCAAAAGGGACAAACACACTCAACGGTACTTGATCCCATAAGCCTAATCCTGTTCCTCATAATATAGCTGACTCTTCAGCGAGCTACGAGCACCAGCAGGTGACAGTCGGCGGAAACCGCGCAAAATGATGACGAATGTTCATCATTTACACTTGGGCGTTCTCTTTCTCTTCCTCAGTCGCTCCCCTGATTACTACGCACCGCATTCGCTGCTGATTGGAAACCTAGAGGAAAGAAATTACATTGTTTCATCTACGATGGAAGCTACATAATAGTATTGTTGGAAGCCTGAAATCCCAAACAATTAATGGTATGCACTATGCAGGGTCAGTCCGTAGCCCATGGAATGCATGCGAATCTATTATGATTCTTTTCTCCCTCTTTGCACCCGACCAGGGTGATGTCAGAAATAGAAAGACTTGGCAAAATGTCGAATTTTACGGAAAGAAATTTATAGATGTAACATGCATTATTTAATTGTTTAAACTATTATTTTTACTTTCTCGCATTTGCTAGCGTAAAAAGAGAAAGTATTGTAATCGTACGCCGGACAACGGCGAATTTTCGACAAAAAATCTCTTATTGCCGGTCCCTGGTATAGAAAACGTGGATAAATTTAGTTGCTAAACATAGGGGAAAAAATCCTTGAACACGCAGTGTAGCGAGAATACATGGTTTGTGCATCCTTCACACCGAAAAATCGATTGAAGGCAAAACGTCTGTCTGTCTGTCCTTCCGTCTTTGTTCAACGCTAGCGCACAAACAGTTCAGATGATTTTCCCCAAAATTGATATTCCCCGATCGTTCTATATCGCGGACTCGGCAATTTGAAAAAGGATATTTTAATTTTTACATGGAGCCACTGGAACATTTTCAAAAAGTGGCTCCAAATATTTTGATTAAATTTTGTTGTTGAATACTGCGAAAGACATTTAAGAGAATGGCGCAGGCCTCATTTTCGTTAACAACCCCGATTTTTCGAAAATTAAAAAAAAATCCCCTTATTTGTCTTAAATCACGAGAAGAAAGAACTACGTCAAGAGTTATTGCATTTTTTGTTTTTCGTGTCCTCTTATCTATGGTAAGTCCTCGCTTCAGGAAACTATTACAAATTTATGTAACAAATTAAGTTTTTGCAACCTCACTGTTTTAAAAGAATGGTAACTTCGGTACAAAATTTAATATTGAGAAATGGCTCGTTGTTCGTGTAAACTGATAGCAAGAGTTTGCTAATGGCGACTGGGCAGGCACAACGGCCAGTAGGTCGCCAATGTGCCCGCGACTGTGGCTATTGTGCCCGTTGGCGCTAAAAGCTGATGAGGAAACAAAAGAAAAACAAAACGCTATGAAACGCACCGAGCGCACTAGCAAGACTCTATGAAACCATAGAGGAGAGTCTACTACTCAACCATAGAGTAGAGATATATCTCTACTCTAAGAGAGTAACTCTATGTATGAAACGTAAACGCTAAGGAAACAGCTAAGAAACTTCCAGGCAACACTGTTAAAAGAAACGTATTTGAAAACACTAATGATGACTATGTAGAATGTTGTGAAAAATTTTCAGTACCAACTTTGAGCGATGGGTCGTGACTCTTGAACTGTGACAGGATGTGGCTCTTGAACTGTGTGCTTGTGTCGGGGAAGATGACGATGGATATTTATGTGAAAACTGTTCTTAAAGGTACAAAAATAACTTATTTTTCATTATAAAAATGTGTTCTTTAATAGATAGTCAGTAAATAGTTTAGTAAAGTAGTTTAATAGATAGTAAAAAACTTTTTTTGTATTCAAATCATTTTGCTTCTTATTTTAATTTTTTACCGGTCACATACGTTTAACCCTTATTAATATGCAGCCCTACAGAATTGTTAAGTGCTCTTGTACCCACTTGTATGTTAAGAAATTAAACATCCTTAGCAACACTTAGTAAATAAAGAACCATTGATTCATCTCAAGTCAAATATTTGAAACTGGCGATGTTTGTACAAATCAGATTCAAACAATGGATTCGTAGGCTTCCGCGGCCGGAGTCAATGTATTCTTGGCATTCAGACTACAGCATATACTGCAGCAGTATAGCTCTGAAGAAGGTCACAGCAAGATGGCTGAACTGTTAGTCCAATAAACTGAGACGCGGCTCATCCCGGATAGCCAAGAATACAGATTCAAACAATTCAGAATAAAAGTAACTCATATTAGTTTGAGGGAATAATTATCGTTAATTTTAATATTAAAAGTACAATTAAAATGTGTATTGGTTAAATTAACTTCATTTTTCTGGCACTCCACCAAATGAAACTTTTTTACTTTTTATTTATTTTTATTCATTTACGTTAAAAATAGTTAAAAAGCGTTGTGTGACGTGCTTTGGGGAGAAGTTAATTTGAAGTTACATCTATTCCTCTTCTTATTTATAACTTAACTTATTTATTCTCTTTATTTATAACTCTTCGGTTATTGCCGATCTGAATGTGTCGCCAGAGGACGTCGACGTGCCAACCGTGCCAACTTCGCAAGTTGGAAGTCAAGGAGATTCTGTTTCCATGGAGTGTGCAATTGGACCTGGCCACGGTGAACCACGGAACATCGTGGAAATATGGATCTGATGAACATGTGTTGTATTGAGATGAGGTTAAGTGTGATGCAGTTATAGTGTATTCCAAGCGTTTTGTATACTTTGATCTACTGTTTCCAGCATATTCTTCGAAAAAGTATTTTGATTTAGTTACAATCTCGAAAAATTACGGGTGATTTGTCACTACACCAAACAAATCAGAGGAAATAGTATAGTTTTTGCGAACCCACACGTGGGACTAACCAGATAGATATACGGAGCATGTGTTCTTGCAGTAAGGTATAATTTTTGTGAATACTTTGGATACAGACAAATGCAAAGAAAATGTCGTTCTTCATTAGAACAGGAAATAGTATTAAACAAAATGAAAAAATATTGAGCAAGCAAAACAAGGTGAAGAAGAGGAAAGGGCATGAACACAGCAGCGAGCGAAAATCCAAGCACAAGAAAGGGGGTGATGAAGATATTGAAAGTGATGATGAGGATGAAGTTCCAGTTGCGCAGCAAAATTCAAATAACATTGCTTACGAGTCAGATGAAAATTATGAAACCGCGCAGGAAAAGAAACTTCGTTTGGCGAAGTTGTATTTGGAAGAAATTGAAAGGAAAGAAAGGAAACTTCGTGAAAACGGCGAAGTTGGAAAAGACGACATTACTAATTATTTGAAAGAAGATTTAAGAGAGAAGACTCACAGGAATAGGAAAACTGTAGCTGACACATATAGTGGATATGATGATAGTGGAATTTTGAGGTTAAGTTGTAAAGAACAGTATTTACCAATTACTTGTCTGGTGGTGTCATTTGATAATAAATATGTGTATTCTGGTTCTAAAGGTTCAGCAATAGTTAAGTGGTCTTTGGAAGAAGGAAAGAAACAAAAAGTTGTGAAACACAAAGACTTGAAAGGAAACAAGAAAAGCTTAGGTATTGTTCTTTGCTTGGCTATATCATCTGACAATAAATTCTTAGTGTCTGGAAGCTCTAATTGTGAAATTAATGTATGGAATCCTGAAACATTAGCTCACATTCATACATTTTCTGGGCATAAAGGTGAAGTGACTGGTGTGGCCTTTCAAAGGAACCAACACACACTATTTAGTGTATCAACTGATCGATGTGTTAAAGTGTGGAATCTAACTGAAATGGTGTATGTTGAATCATTGTATGGTCATCAGAAAAAAATAACAGCTGTTGATGCATTTTTGTCTGAACGTGCACTTACATCTGGGGAAGATAATTCTGTTCATCTGTGGAAGATTGTGGAAGAATCCCAACTGATTTACAATGCTAATGGTGGGGTAGATGGTGTAAAATTTGTAAATGAATCCTTCTTTTTATCTTGTGGTAGTGATGGTGCTCTTTGTTTGTGGGGAGTGTTGAAGAAAAGGCCTCTATGTACTATACATAAAGCTCATGGGGTAGATGAAACAAATGACCAACCACATTGGCTCACGAGCATTAGTACATTGATAAATACAGATTTGGTTGCTTCTGGTTCATGTAATGGTGTTGTGAAATTATGGAAATGTCGTGACGATTTCAAAAAACTCGAGCTCTTGTTTGATATCCCTATCAAAGGTTTTGTTAATGGATTACAGTTCACTCATGATGGAAAATATTTAGTGGCTGCAGTTGGTTCTGAGCATAAGTTAGGACGTTGGCAAGTAATGAAGGATGTCAAAAATAGTGTTCTTGTTATCCCACTATGTAAAAAAAGTTAATGTTTGTTATTTTTGCTAGAGAAAATGCCTTAATAAATCTATATACCTGCGCTATGGTAAAAGAATCATGTGAAATAGTAATACAATTTGCTTTCTACACAAATCTTGAATAAATTTAAAATATAAAGTTTTTGTTTTGATGTTTATTATAAGAAAAAAATTGTTACATGATTCTAAATTCATAATTACGTGAAATAATTACATCATTTTGTGTCACTGTTTTAAATTTCTATTGTTAACTGAGCATTTTAATATCCTGGAGATAGCCATAGAATTCCTGTTAAGAACTCTTGTAAACTCCGATATTTGGTTAACTTTTGGTAAGGAGTAGGATGTGCATTACACTCCCTTCAGATAAATAACTGCTCTTAGACTTATCACTATAAAATCATGAATCACTTGAACATGCTGTCCTTCTATAAGTATTTCTGAGAGAATATAGGAGGACATTCACATATTAAATTTCCATAGCTACATTTGCATCATGTGCCATTCTGTGTGCCTTATTTCTGAATAGATCTTTTTTTTTTTTTCCTTTTTTTTTTCTTTCTCCAATGATAAATACATTTCACTTGAAAAGGTTACTGCAAATACAGTAGAAGAAAAGTATGAAAATTTTTTACAAGCTTGTAACTATTCTCTTCTTGACTTTTTTCTTTTATTTTTGTGTAATACACGTGAGAGTTTGTAGTTTTAAAAATTCTTTTTCTTTTTTAATAGCCTTAAATTTTGAATTTTGATGTGTAAGTTATTTGATGATTTCATTTTCCAAAAATTATGTTGTACGCGAGTTTCAAAATTAATCTAATATGAGATTGATTTTGTGAAGTTGTGAACATCAAGGTTTGAGAAAAATACAAGTCAATGAATTTGACTTCTTAACTTGATCAGAATTAATCTTGTGTAATGTTATGAATTGTTAAAAAATACAAATATTACTTGTGAGAAGAAAAGTGAGTAAAAAGCAGCAAAAATAAATAAATTGAAAAATCTATGTTTACCTTATTTTCTTATTCTACACCCCTTAAAGATAGGTGAGTAATTTGTATTAATAATATTGTAAAGTAATATTTCTCTTTTTATTCTGATCAACTTTAACTAACAATGCACTGATATAACGTAACTAGAAGAATGCCATGTAGCAGTGAAGCAATTTTATGTTGTTGCTAATTTTGAGTAGAGTAAGTGAATGAAAAGATGTTTTGTAAGATTCCAAAGTACGCTTATATTGAAGGTCGCAGAAACACTTAAGAATTAAGAAACACACAGAATTAAGATAGTCCAATGAATTGTATCAAGAATTCATGGTTTTTAAATGTCTTCTGTAATTGGGGATTAATGAAACATTTGTTGAAATTTTGTATGTTTTGAAATTCAGGAAGAATTGCAACTCGATTAAAGAAATATGACTACTTGTCGTGAAATAATTTAATTGGTTGAAAAATAATTTTATCTAGATACTGATGAACACTATTGCTTTTAGTTCGTCTATCTGTACCTTTGATAGGGTAAATGCACCAGCAGTAGCAACAGCCAACAAGAAAGTTCAGTGGTGTATTGTATACAATAATGAACAATATGTACTGTTTTGAAAAGAGCTTTTTAATATCATTTTAAACAATTAATAAAAACAAGGCAACACCACCAATCTTGAAAATGTTCTCCATTAGATTCTGAACATGTTTTAGCTTTGTTGTAAGTGAGAAGTTATCTCAGCTATTCATTAATATAATTTAAGCAGATGTCTGATAATGTAGATTAAATCACTTCTCAGGATTCCAGCCATTCTGAAGTTGTGGCATTTCTTAAATATCTCATTCACTTAACTGTTTTTCAATTAGGCATTCTTAACAAGTCTAGATGTTCATAGTTATTTCTGGTTCAGTCATTAGAATTTTTGTTAAGACAGGTTCTTTTCTCCCGTTGCTTGATAAAATGACAATGTGTTTTATACTGAAAAATGTTTTTAGCTGGATTTGAAGTGTCTCAAGATGTTCCCAAGTTACTTATGATATCTATTGTGCTTCTGTTTCAAAAGATATATCTTGTTACAGCAGTTTCAAAAGTCAGAATTTTGATCTTATTTGCAGAAATTGTGAAAATTAATTTTTTTATCAGGATTGTTTATTTGCAAAAATTACTCTTAAGAAAAAATAGTTTTCTTAGAATAACTTTAATGAATGTGAATCTTTTTCCAAAAGGTTAAATTAGGGGAAACTACAAATATACGGGATGTGCAACCATGTCTTGGAAATGAGTTACTTCTCTATTGATTCAACCCAGTTTTTTATGATGTTGAGCAGCGCCTGAAGAATCCCAATACATGAAAATACTTTTGTTCTGATCTAGAAGTTAAATTGTTCAGTAATTCATTTGTTTTGATTCCAATTTCCCTTAAACCTCTTTTTCTTTACTAGAATTCCGAATTTATGTTCTGATAAAACAGCTAATCCTTAATACGAATGGCAGCACAGTAGTGTAATACACTTTTCACCTTATTTTTCAGAAATCTTTTTGAGATCAGATGATCATTGATATAATTTATAAGAATAGTTGAAGTTAACATTCTAGAATGCCAAAATTACATACTCAACCATAGAGTGGCTGGTTCTAAACATAGCTTTTGCCCTGCCCGAACCGCTGATCAACTTTCTCATGACGTAATTTCCGGGGAATCCCAGAAAACGTGTTTCTCGAATTTCCATTGCTCGAATCGACGGTCGCATCATAGTTCATTGCACCTTGGAAGCTTACGTCACAATGCTTTTAAAGTCATTTAATTAATTGTCATTAATTGAGTAACAAAACAATAATATGACGATGCTACGCTAATCTGGTATTGGAATGTCAAATGTAAAAATCTCGTATTAAGCAATCGTCAACGAATAATCAAAGTTCAAGGGCAACAGACTGCACTACGAAATGTGCCAATCAGTGTTAACATACTTGAATATATTCATGGCTACGTATGAAACATACGTTACTAACAAGCGTACGCAATTAGTAGTTCTGGCTCCAATATTTTCGCTCGCTCACGTTCTTTAGAAATGTATCTATTAATAATATAACCTAATATTATTAGATTTATTTCAGAAGGTGCAGCGGTTGCTTTACTCTCGTGAATCTTTATTAGCATTTGAAATCGTAGTTTACGTAACAAGGGCGTAAACAGGTGATTCCCGCACTGGTCTCTCTGTCTTCCTCGCTAAGCTCGGACGACAAACTCGTACAAAATAAGTGCTCGACTCATGGGTGAATTACCTCGGGCCCGTGTTGCGTCTAGGTGTACGAAAAAATTTTAATTTCGCGAGTGCCTCGCGATAACGAGATCTTTTTCTGCCTGAACCTGACCAGAGGAAGATTTTCATCCGGAAGAGAAATTTCTTCTCAAGTAAGCATTGTTACACCAACAATAGTTTTTGAAATAGATCAGAATGAAAACGTTCTACTGTACTATTAAGACTATTAAACAACTTCTTTAGGACAATTATATGCTGTATTCATAAGTTTTGAATGTGCTGATGAGCTTGGTCAGTCTTATTCAACTGTACAGTAATTGACAAAATTCCATCAAATTTTCATTGCCTTTTTTAATGTGTGTTTAAAAAAAATCATTATCCCAAACTTTTTTTGTTGTTGTATAGTGCACTATTAGTATGGTGAATTTATAATGTACTATTTTTCCTTTTGAACAAATTGGCTATTAATTTATAACTATAAAATAAAATTGGTCTCTGAAAATAAATTAATGGGTTGATAATTTCTACAATATGCACTAAGTTTGAATAAAATCTTACTGATCTGTGTTGAATAAAAAGATTCCAATTACTTGAAATAAAAATGTTTAAAATTTAAACAAACTAAGGATACTTAATAATTTAAAAAACTTTCTTAGTCATCAAACAATAACAAAAATAAAATTAAAAAAACTGAGCAAAACAATGAATTAACCAGTGTTTAAAAACTTCCAAACAAAGTTCAAATTGTTTGACAAACTTTCAAAGAAAAGCCTGCACTCTACCTTGAATTTATACAACAGAATTTTTTAAACCCTAAAAAAATCTTGAAATATGCTTTTAAAAATATGCATTTCTGCCCTAAAATGCGTGAAATTTGCACATTAATATGCCGTAATAAACCTTTCCTAATATAATTTAGAAAAAGCATGCTTGGAATAACAATATATTTTTGTGCAAACATAATATAATCTACATTACAAGGGAGAAATAATTGTAAATATACAGTTTACTGAAATACATTGTATATCTTGTTGCATTTCTTCTGCCTGGTTTAAAAATGATGAGACTCGCCAACCTCTTGGCAGCAGTATAGCTCTGAAGAAGGCCACAGTAAGATGGCCGAAATGTCAGTACAATTGACCGAGACACGGCTCATCCCGGATAGCCAAGAATGCAAGAAGTATTCTACATTTACACAAGTATTTTTTCATATATAGGAAAGGAAAAAACACAAACTATGTCCAAGCTCTTTCTAATCAATGAACACTCACAAATGTATAGATTCAATGAAAAGAAGAAATGTTTTAGAGATACAAGTCTCCTACTTTACGCCTCTATTTTAACAAAACATGCACCTATAAATACACAAGTACGCACCATCAAGAGAAATCAGTCAAATATGAACTAACATATTAATCTACATAGCATCTAATTCTAACCAAATGTAAAGAAATTTCATTTAGCTACGCCCTGAAGCAATGAACAAAAATATGCAAAATCATGGAAAACCACTCCCTACTCATTACAACCAAAGGTCCTTGACATCATTCTTATTTTCTTACAAATTACGACTTCTCATGAACTCACATCTGCCCTCAAAGACTCTCTCTTTAGATCAGTTCTGTTTATTGATTCTTTACAAAGAACTCACTATTCCCATTTCCATGACATCTAATGTGTTCTCCATAATTTAATTTCTTCTTAGCAGGCCTTGGTCACATCTTACAATTGTGCTTGTATTGTCACATTACAATAGTCACAATGAGTTATTTTATTCTTATCAAGAGATTTATTTTTAGATAGACCTTTGTTTCTACTACAGATGAAATTAATTATTGGATGAAGATATTTGTTGTATCATTTTGTAATAATTAAATAATTATATAAATATTTAATTGTGTTTATTTTAATAATTAAATATTGCATTTTTTCACATCTATTTTACATAGCTAAACACATTTACCTCTTATTACTTCTAAATCTTCTTCTGGTATGGATTTTAAGGTTTTTTTATTAAATATCTTAAAATATGTTTGTGGCAAAACTGCATGTATACTTCTTGATATCAACTCTTAGTATAATCATAAAAAGTTTCAGATATCAGTGAAGAATTTGAACATTTTTTTACACAATAGTAATTTTAACCTTGAAATCATTCAAAATATTGTTGCAGTTATTTAGTGATGAAAAGTTTTTGAAACATATCAAGAAAGTCTTCATCCTACTTTAAAAAAAATTAGAGAAAAGAGCTACAGAATACGTTTGTCAAGAAACTTTTAATTATTATGTGATTGATAATGAAAAATATCTGATTTTAATAATTTTCAGTTTCATTCACCATTCATTTCAGTTTCAACAGTCATATAAAACAAAACTAATATTGATTCTTTTTATTTCATTTCACATTTCTATCAAAGTTTCAAAAAATCATTGGCAGGGTGATGAACTTGTATCTTCAAAGTCAATAGATTAGCCCTCACCTGGGCATCATGCTTGAATAAATTAAACATTATTTGATGGCAATTTCTCTCCCAAAGAAAATAGAGTTTGAATACTTGTATTTGAAGATTAGATGTGTGTTAATTAATAATGAGGAAACATAATTCTTAATATATACTCTTAAGCTCATTTGAGGAAAAACAAACCAAACCAAACCAAAATAACTGAAAAACCACCCGTTCGGGATAAGGAAAAAATTCTCAGAAATGTATGACTTGCACAGTGGATTGCGGTTTTCAGAAATTTTAGAGATGTGCACAACCAAAAGTAAATTCAAAATTTTGTTTTCTAGTTTCTGATTACTGCATAATTAAACATGC